GTATTTTTTTTATTTATTTTTGCATGGGAGGGATCATTATCTCCTCAACCAACGTCCAATGACAAGTTTTGTCTTTATATACAGGGCAATGTCCTTTTTTATTGAAATTAGCCAAGAGTCAGATTAAAGTTGACATTCTTTTGAATTATAAGCTCACAGAGCTGTTTGCTTATTAATTTCAAAGCTGTACAGACACCACAGCAAGAACAAGTGATCATTAACCACAACATGGAATGTAACTTCCTTCCTGTCACCTCTTCGTTAATTCTGAGGTTAATGAAAAGATCTTTTGCAGATGTTGGGAAAAGAACTCACATCTCCTGAAATGGTCGAAGCGATCCTGGATATCACTCCGAGTCCATTGCCTTTTTACACCTAAGGCCTGCAGGTTACGCTTAACAAACACTCCCTATATGCAATCTTTCTCTTCCTCCTCACCTTGGACAACTGAACATCACCAACACTCCTGCACCAAAAAAGAAAATTGGGGAACCGGGCTAATAATGAGAAATTATCCACCCCAGTTAAATTAAAAAAAAAAAAAATCACATTTTCAAGACAAGACATCTCATTCAGGAGCAGCCAGTTTTTACTTTGAACAAATCCTTTTGCATGGTCAGCACACGAAAAGTCAAAAGAAATTTCATCTCTTCTTCTATTATGAGAAAGTCTAAACAAAGTTATCGGCTTTCACTCACAGCACTCACAAAGCACAGGAAGTTTTTTTTTTTATAAACTACTAGCAGTAGAGCCCGGCATTGCCCGGGGATGAAACAGTAAGAGATAGATCAAGTATCGACCATCATAAAGAATAGAATTTTATTATAAACAATTTGTCTTGTAAATGGAATTTTTAAAGCATTCTGAATGTAAAAATAAAGAAAAAAAAGTGTGCAAGACAATAAGAAACACTACCTGCCAAAAAAAAGTGAAGTTTTGTTGAAATTGGTTGAAAAATGTAGGAAATCCGATCCCATATATAAAGGAACACACACACACACACAACCTGGGTTTTATAATAAGTATAACTCGATACCAGTTGTCCCCCTTTCATTCTTGCGACAGAATTGTGTTTCATCGTGTTTTCAAATTGATTTTGTGCGAAAACAGTTGTTTTTTTTACAATTTTTGGTGCTGTCAGAACCACTGCAAGGTAATTTTATGTAGTCCTGTGAAGTTTTGTTGAAATCGGCTGAAAAATGTAGGAAATTCGATTCAATATATAAACGTTCTGGGTTTTATAATAAGTATGATTTTCTTTGGTCAGAATGTTTGTCCATTTTATTAAGTAGAAAATTTACTTATAAAATCAACAAACCTCTTGACCAACTCTATGCATTTAAGGGTTTCAATTATGGGTTAAAAATAATTGTAATTTTTAAAAAATTTATTATGATAATGCTATTCTATTTAGTTTTGTCTATATACCAGCTATATACCTTCTTTTTTTATTTCATTATTATTATTAAACCTGTAACCTAATGAAAAGTGGGGACATTAATAATTAGGAGACTGGAAATTTTATTAAAATATGTGGGGGGTGGAGTCTCAATAACTGGAGTATTAGAATTTTTATCAATATGCAATAAATGCGGGGGGGTAATTAGGGGACTATTTTTCACCATATGAAATAAATGGGGGAGTCTAATAATCTGGGAGATTGGAATTTTTCTCAGCATACAATAAATGGGCGGGTCTTAACCTTTAGCACTCTCCAGTATTCATAAATATTTCATCCTCATCCATTGGGTATAAGTAGCCAGACATCTGCAGTAGCATCATCTTCAAATTTCAGTTAGTCATTTTCCTGTTGCCATAGCAGGATATGACAACACTAGCACAAAATTCAACCACACTATTTTCTGATCATCAAAATTGCGTGCAATCGCTGTACAAACATTTTTTGTTTGACAAATGAAGTCACCAACATACAGAATGCTAAAGTTTAATAAAAGTGTGGGTCTGGAAAATCATTTAAAAGAAATAGTTAAAAAACTGAAAACGTAAATAAAAACAAGGTTCTGGCTATGTACCCTCTGAACTTCCACAGATGTCTGTTGTATTCATAATGACAATCAGAGTGCACACTGGAGTGGGGTGGAGGAGACCCAGAAACAATTATTCAAATATCTTTTCGAACAAAATCCAGACAAGAAAAATATGAATATTTAAGGAGAAAAATAAATAAAGCACTCTTAACCAAGAATCCTGTGCAGTTATATTAAGTTTTGTTTTAGGATTTTTCTGCAACACAACAAAAATGGCACATTATAGCAAGATTTTTGTTAGGGCAATACCATTAAAATACAATAACTTGGCAAATAAAGCAACATTGAGTCTAATATACAACTTAATGATAATAGTGAAGACTCACTCTGATAATCACTATTACACAGGTCCCCAAACACTAGACAACAGACTGGTACCAGTGTGTGGATCATTTGCTATGGGCCAAAAAGAAATAATTAACTTGTTTAAAATCATATAATAAATAAATTGAATACTGGACTTTAATTTAAAAAGATTTCTTTAAATATTCAATATTCATCTACTCAATACTATCATAATTCTAAGTACATTTTACAATTAATGTATATTTTTATTTATTTGTAATAATTTTCAACTAATTTCTAATCCCAACTAATTTTCTGATTCTACATTATGGTGAGTTGATATTGATGTGATAATAGTGTAATCTGGATTGATTCAGGGAAACTAAGCACACAAGGGTGTGGTCAGGCTGGCACCCAGGTAAGAGAGTCAAAAGATTATACATTCTTCTCTTTAATAAATTGCTCTTTTCCTTATTGCTCTCTGTATCAAAATGTACCTAAATTACACATTTATGCTACTATCAGTCCGTGGAAAGATTGTCTCACATGAAGCTGATCCGTGGTATAAAAAAAGGTTGGAGATCATTACTGTAGTATAATGATTGGATTTCTCAAGGGAGATAACTCCAGGTTTATTAAAAATCCCTTATTTGTAAATTTTCTGTATTCTTTGTTATTATGAAACAGCATCACAGTAAGATTTCTGTTAGCACAATACCACTAAAATGTTCTAAGTTGAAAGGGAATAAACCAATTTCAACTCCAACTTGCAAGTGGGATGATGTGCACTAACCCTATCTTATTCCTCAAGGGAGATAACTGCAGATACATTAAATGGTGTGATTTCTATTATTCGGAAATGTATAGCTCATACTTGAGGATACCAAGCCAATCCCTATTGCAGATGCTTATTCAACATCCACAGAGCCCACCAGTGGTTTATACAGCAACTATGCTGAGCAGACCCGGGAAAAAGCATGTTATCTAGCGTGATCAACAATTTGAACAAGGCCAGCATGCCCAAGCCCTTCACCATGACTTGTGACTTTGTGCTAGCACAGCTATCAATGGCCCACAAGGGTTCCGTCTTAGTTTAACTCACAATGCCTGGGTCAACCTGTAGCATGGTTTTCAGGCACTTTCCAAAGGTGCCATATGCTGAAATTAACCCTTCCAGTCCAATAACATCAGAAGATCTCCTTCCTGACAAAACGACCATAGCGAGATTCACACCTGGGTCACATGGTCAGAATGCAAATGTTCTAACAACTCAGCCACATACCCATATTTGAAAATAATTATAATATAAATGTACATTTCTTAAATAGTCTGATTGAATTTTGCTTCACCATCTAAAGGCGTGCTGGCTTAACAATGGTTTCTCCCTACACAAAGGATATAATTCAAACCCTGCCAGGATGGTTTGGTTTGTTTAATGGCATATCAACTACTTATGGGTCATTTAATGCCAAAATTTTATCTTTTGGAGAACTCTGGTAATTATTTTATTTTTTTATTTTTTTCAAAAATGTATTGCTGGTAATTTTTTCTCTTTCTTTTTCCAATAATGTATTGATGGTAATTTTTCTTACTATAAAAATAGACTTTCATAATGTTTGGATCCCAGTTTAGGGTTTTACTATTTGCCCATAGCTGGTACCCTAACAGGTGCTACCACCCCAAAGCACTGCCAGGAGGTATATTTTATTTATTAAAACTTTTGAGTGTATAGGCCAGGAGACATAAATTTATACCATTTTTAAAAAAAAAAAAAAAAAAAAGTCAGGAACGTCTACTCAATCCCATGTCTCCACAAGATATAAGGTTAAGAAATATAAACATCTGTCTATATTTCTGAGATGAGGTATTGTAACTATTTACACTGTTTGAACAATAAAGATGAGGATAACAGAGTAAATAATGTAAAAAGAAATATAAAGTCTATAAATAGAAAGAGACCTGAAACTAAATGTACTAACAATAGCCTAAACAATGGAAAACTCTCCAACAGAGAGTATTCTATTATTATGCAGGGGTGAAAGATAGTTATGGGACTACCTGATGTCTTCAGTATGTTAATACACTTTGAATTATTTTTTTAATTTCTGTATTAAACTAGGCTTTTTTTTTTTTTTTTTTTTGATCAGCAGACATCACATTATGATCTTAGCTTGTGTGGGGAGGAGCAGAGAAATTGGCCTTTGAACCAAACTCTACTAGCTGCAAATAATGGGTTATTGAGAAAGGAGGTAACTCCAAGTAAGAATTTTTTTTTTTTTTGCAAATTGCTTTGTGCCTGGCTTAATGGAGACAAGCCTTATTTTTTTAAACTGCTAAAAGGAAATCAAAAGATTTTTGTCAAGTGTGGGCAAAAAAAAAAAAAAAAAAAAAAAAATCAACAACATGCATGTTTACTTGTATGATTTTATAGACAAGAACTGAGTGGGTGCAAACTGACAATTTTATTTGTAAAGCCGTTCATTTCATTAACCCATTATAACCGAGACGCGATTTAAAACAGAAATTGATTAAACTAATATTTTAAAATCATTAAACTCAAATTATTAAAATTATAGATGAAAATAACTGAACTGACCTCCACCATCTTCTCCACCCTAAGTCTTTTAATGTGAAATTATTTCTGGTAGATTTAATCAGGTGGGTGGGTCAAGTGGTGTATATATTTTTAAAGAAGGGGGGGGGAGAGAGAAAGAGAGAGAGAGAAAGAGAGAGAGAAAAGAGAAAGAGAGAGAGAGAAAGAGAGACAGACAGAGGGGGGGAGATAAAAAAAAAGGGGGAACCAAACTCCTTTGCTTTAATAAAAAGGAAAAAAAAAAAAAAAGTTTGAAAGTTTTGGGACACAAAATAGTTAACCGGGAAATGTAGACAGCTTTTATTTCAGATGAATGACATGAAAGACGATTTATTCAGAGTAAAAACATTTTTATCTGTGACACACACACGCGCACACGCACCAACAGCTTTGTTTCCCCCCCCTTCAAAATCATATTATTTCCGTCTCTGTTTGTCACGGTCAAGTCGATCTTCTAGATCATCGTCACTATGGTAATTGCTTCCAGTACCACCACTACTACCACCAGTACGGGACGGCCGAACAAAATCTGTACTGAAGTCCTTGTCTAGGTTTTCATACCGAAGTACGTTGAGACACTCCTCAAATATTCGGGCCTCTGGAAAATCAACCTAAAAAAAAACAATTAATGAATAATCTGAAAGGTCCCATGTAAGATTAGAATGGTTAAAACACATTTCTAAAAGAAAATAGATTTTATTATAACATAAGCAGGTAGGGCAGGTTGATTTGATTTTTCATTTTTTTTTTTTTTAGAAAATCAACATTGCATGCAGTGCGAAAGCTGGGGTTTCATGTGATAAGTACTAACACTGAAAATTAAATTCATAGCTTTTACCAATTTTTGAGCATTTAGTTTTAAAGATTGTCAGAAAAAAAATGTACAGAAATATCTAATCTCAGGTTTTTGCTTACAAACTGACTTCAAAATTTTACTATTTCAAGAATAAATCTAAATTGACATTTTTTTGTATTAGATACATTGAATGGAAAATATATTTGAGCCTGAATTCTAGTTATGAATCTCCACAATTTTTTCTTACTGTATTTGTTAAGTAAACACTCTCAAAAAAAAATTGTAAAATATCACAAAAAAGACTACTCAGTGAATAGTTGTTAGATCATCTTACTTATTATAAAACACAGATTGTGTGTGTGTGTGTGTGTCTGTACGTTTATATATTGGATCGGATTTCTTACATTTTTCAACCAATTTCAATAAAACTTCACAGGACTACGTAAAATTACCTTGTGGTGGTTCTGACAGCACCAAAAATTGGAAAAACACAATTGTTTTTGCACAAAATCAATTTGAAAACACGATTAAGAGGCATCACGAGAATGAAAGGGGGACAACTCATATCGAGTTATACTTATTATAAAAAACCCATTGTCCTTGTGCCATGCATCTTGTTTATGTACAATTTGTAAAGCTTCAGTAAATTATAAATTTTATAAGGCTGTTCTATAAAGCTTTCACTGATCGTCAGAATGAAATTCTAGTGCTACGATTTTGAACCTAAACTTAATCTTCAAACTACTTTCCCCCAAAAATGGTAACGATTTTGAAAAAAATATTTTGTGTCACTATTTATCATGTCAAACCCCAATTTTCAAATTGAGCGCAATACCATGCTTCCAAAATCGACCTTCCTGAATTGTCAGTAGCCCTAGTTAAGTCATACTAGTGCATGGAATGTGGTTTGTAACTAGCGGCATTGAGAGACTTAATAATTCTGAGTGAAGAAGTAGAAATATTAGAATGAAAAATATGGGAGAGTGGTTAATCAGACTGGAGCCTGACAGAAAAAAAATTCTGGTTTAAAAATATTAATTTAAACCCCTAAAATACCTATAAAGAGGGCCTCAGAAGAGTTAGAACTCAAATTCAATTAAATAAGATTCACCATGAATCGTATAGATGATAAGTCCCCTCCAAACGTCTTCGAACGCCAAGGCAAATTCTTTTGTTTTTGTTGTTCAAAGAAGATAATTGGGTTTAAGATCAAAAGATAAAAATGAGACAAGAGTTCAAAATTTCAGCTTTCATTTCCTGCTATTTACATTAAGATGTGTTAAACAACTTAGGACATACTGCCTTTTGTTTGAACCCACCCATCTTTCAAGTGAGCAAAACTACTGGAATATGTGACTGACAGGTGTTTCTTGTTGCCTATGTGTTGCCTTTTAGATTGTTTAGACATTAAATAGCCCTGAATGACTACTCTTGGTTTTAGCCTTGGGTTTCACCTGTAAAGACTGTATTTTTTGTTAAAAAGGATAAAATGAAAGAGAGGGAGAGAGAGAGCTGTCTATAGGAGAAAAGGAAACTATTTTGAAGCTGAGAAAAGAAAGAAAATCGATCAGAGCCATTAGACAAACATTGGACATATCCAAAACAACAATTTGGAATGTCCTGAAAAAGGAAAACTATTGATGTACTGAGCAACAGACATAGAACATTGGCCAAGGAAAACAATAGCAATTGGCAGAAACATTGTGAGAACTGTGAGAAAAAATCCCAAAATAACAGTCAGTAATGTCACCAACAACCTCCACAGTGCAGAGGTGAAGTTTTCAAAATCTACCATTCATAGAAGCCTTCAAGAGCAGAAATATAGAGGCCATACCCCAAGATAGAAACTACTCATCAGCAGTAAGAATTATGAGACCAGATTGGAATTGGCAAGGAAGTACAGAGATGAGCGACAAAGTTCTTGAAGAAAATTTTATGGACTGACTAGCAACATGACCTGGCGTTGCCTGTGCTTGATTCAAAACAGCAATCGCTATCACTTGACTTAAAATATTTTTGCTCTTCCTTGCCTTTAAAGGAGTGCCCTTTGCCGTGCTGATGTTGCTACATGCCTTACTTCTTGCTTATCTCACACTGCGAGTTTTTTCTAAGCTCTATACTAAACATTAAATCTATTACAAAAAAAGAACTAAACAAAATGAACACAAAACAATCAACTTTAAAAAACCAAATGAAAAAAGAATGTTAACAACAAATACTTATTCACACCCAACCCAGTTCTGTGGAATCAGAAGCAAGCAAGCGAATGAGCCAATTGGAGTAAAGTGCCATGCAGATTTAAATTTTTCCCACTTGTGACGAATGCAGCTATCGATTTTTTTTGCATGCTAGTTAATATTCGTGTCAGTCAGCTGTTGGCTTTCACGCTGGCCAATAAAATCTTCCTGCCTATTTGTGGCAGCCAGCTATAGGCTCTCACTCTGGCCAGTACAAAATGGCCGTAAACTATATAAGAACTGCTGTAGAAGCATGAAAAAAATCGATTATTTCCACTATTGATGGGAGTTGGGAAATGCAAGGTTGGTCTTGGCCTTTCCGCTAACTTGAAGCATGTGCATGTAAATTTTGGTGCAAATCCATCAAAAATTGCGGCCGTGCATTCGTTACACACACACACACACACACACATCCTGCCTTTTATAGATAGAGATATGACCAAGATTAATCTCTTCCAAAGTGATGGAAAGGACAAAGTGGGGAGAAAGAAAGGATCTGCTTATGATCCAAAGCATACAAGCTCATCCGTGAAGCATGGTGGAGGCAGTGTCTTGGCTCGGGCTTTCATGGCTCCTTCTGGAAAAGGCTCATTCATATTTATTGATGATCTAATTCAACATGGTAGCAGCAGAATGAATTCAGAAGTCTACAGAAACATTTTGTCTGCCAATTTACAGAGAAATGCATCCAAACTAATCAGGAGGAAATTTATCATGCAGCAGAGCAATGATCCAAAACATGCTACCAACACAACAAAGGACTTCATCACGAGGGAAAAAGTGAACAGTTTTAGACTGGCCAAGTCATAACCCAATATAAATGTAGTCACGAGACTATATATAACCCAATAGAGCATGCATTTCATCTCCTAGACTGAAAGAAGAAACCCCTCAAAACAAACAAGAACTGAAAGAGGTTGCATTAAAAGTCTGAAAAAGCTTCACAAATGAAGAATGCAACAGTTTGGTGATTTCAATGGGTCGCAGGCTTCATGCAGATATTGCAAGCAAGGGTTATGCAAGCAAATATTAAATGTTATTTACTTTAAGACTATCTATTGCTCTACTTTTGCTCACCTGAAAATGGGGTGATCTGATACAAAAGGTGACATGTCCTAAGCTGTTTAACACATCTAAATCTAAATACCAGGAAATAAAAGCTGACATTCTGAACTCTTGTTTCATATTCATTTTTTGATCTTAAACCAAAATATCTCCTGTGAACATTAAACAACAAAAGATTTGGCCTTGTTGTTCCAATACTTTTGGAGGGGATTGTATGTGATGGAGGCTGGCCACTCGTATCCATGTATGTTTGTCTGCATAGGGTGACTCTGTTGTTTAACCCATCTTAATGTAAATAGCAGGAAATGAAAACTGACATTCTGAATTCTTGTTTCATATTCATTTTTTGATTTTTAACCCAAATATCTTCTGTGAACAACAAAATCAAAAGATTTGGCCTTGCTGTTCCAATACTTTTGGAGGAGATTGTATATTAAATTGGCCAGTGTTAAATCCTCACTAGACATTCTATTCTTGTGGCTTTGTGTGAAGTCTAAGTCATACTTAATAAATAAATTTTATTTTCTTTCAAATAAAAAATAAATTACCTTTGTGTGTTTCTTGTCGGTTCCATACACAATCGAAGTGCAACAGACTTCACCAACTTTCTGGGAATGGCTGTAGAAATACCAGCAACAAATCTCAACTGTTCCAATGACATCTTTAATCAGAAGAATTCGCTTACTGAACTGGTGTGAGAGCTTATCAAAAAGTTCAATGTTCTTCAAAAAATTGTCATCTGAATTACTATAAAGGAAAAAGAAAAAATAAGATTCAAATTAAAAAAAAAAAAAAAAAAAAAGGTAAGAAATCATTAAATAAATTTTTCCTTTCAATGATCTTTGCTTTTTCTTTTCTACAACAATAGATCAAAAAGCAAATTGAAAGGCCAAAGTTTTTTCAACTGGCAACAAATTCTCTAGTTATTTGATAAGGGTGTGTGACTAGATGGTTAGTGTGTTAGTATGCTAACCATGAGACACATGTTTGAATATCAACATCAGTTAGTCAAGCAAGTGGATAATATCGGCTCTAGGAGGAGTAGATCCCAATGTACACCAGCATTGGGAAGTACCAGTAAACCATACTACTGGTTATAAGCGAAATCAGGTGGACAAAATTGTTTTAAAGCTGTTAATGGTTGGACTAACACAAAGTCAGAAGTCGTCACTTAATAGGCAGATGGAAGCTTGTAGCGGACCGTGTGGGTTTAAGTGTTGTTGAATTAGAAACACGTGTTTTTATCCCTGCTAGAAGAAGGTCCAACTACAAGAACACAGCGGCCTCAAGTTGAGCCCAACTGAAGATGTAAAGAAAACAAACAAGACCTATATATATATATATATATATATATATATATATATATATATATCAACAAATATATGTATTAAATGACAAAATTTACAACGGACACAGACATTAACATTTGTGTCTGTGTGTGAATGTAAAGAGTTTGTATTTTGGTGAATGTTCGTACATAGGTGTATATGTGTTTCATGGAATTTTCCCACAAGTGGGCAAAATGCAGATCTCTCAAGAGAGATCGCATTTTTAAATGTGTCTGCTGAAATGCAAAGTGAAAAAGAGAACAAGGCAAGAAATTGCCCAGTATTTATAGTGTAGGGAGAGTGACCCCTAGTAGCTCTTTAGTTCTGGTTTGCCATCTGAAGATGGGGTATTTAAATAAAAATACTCCTCCCACAGGGATGTATCGATCAGAAAAAACTCATAATGACAGAAATTCTTTAAAAAGTCACTTGTGCTTGCAATCTGCTACTGATTGATGACATTCATGAGTTTTTCATCAGATATTTCTTGGAAATTTCATGTATTGAAATTTGGTCATGTGATGACCAAATTTTCATTTATAAAAATGATTTTATCATGTGTCTCATGTGAGTGCCTTTTTTGAGAGACCAAATTACAATAGACTAACTTCTTTTCTTTTATCTCTTCATCTCATCTCCTAGTGAAATAAGTTAAAAAAGTCAAAGAGAATGATAAAAGTATCATTAGTAACACTATACTCATTGCATAAACGTGTACAGTCATAAACAACCAAACAAAAATCAGCTAAACATCTTATAAACATGAACCATGGAAAAGATGCATATTCGCTACATTTGTATTTTATAATACGATACTAATATGTGAATATTACATACATTATTATTTGATACAGTTAAGTAAAATAGGTTTTATCAAAATCATGTTTATTTTAAATACAGCTATACTTTTTGACTACAGTAAATGGATATATAATTTGGTCAATGGCATTACAAATGCTAATTTTACATCTCGTGTATGATGCAATCCCCTTAAAATTAGCTTCAAAATTAGGTTTGCAAACGTCACATGGACATTTTTATTTTTAAATCTTGATACAAGAAGATATTCCTTACAGGGAAGGTGGCTGAAAAAACATTTGAAACTCTTATTGCACTATCTTAGATAAGTGCTTCGCAAAGTAGGGGGTGTCAAATAAAAATTATTAGGTGAAGATCAAAGAAGTATGTAAAAACTTTTGTATCTATTCGTATTATCTTAGACCAAAGATTCTGAAAGTTGTGGTCATGTAAAAATAAGGAGATAAGGGATTGAAGAAATATTTAAGAGTTATTTTTGTTTCTGTTTTCAAACTATTAAGTAGTTAGAAATTTTTTTCTGTCTACATATATAATCCTTGTGGTGTTTATATATTGTAAAATGTATCAATGATATTTATTTATTTTTTTAAAATAATTTTTGTACTACATTTTAATAACTAGTATTTCTGTCCCATAATAGTTGGTACATTTGCATACACATTTCATACACAAAATGGAACAACTATTATGGGACTGATGAAAATTATGTTATTCTGTTAATTAATTTTCTACAGGGTAGAAAATAATCCAACATGGTATCAATGCAAACCAGCAACAATCTTTTTTGTTGATGAGACGGCATTTCAAAATGCCCAGGGACAAATTGTCACTAAACATCTACCAAAAACTTCAAGTGTCTCTCAAAATAACTCTTCGTAAATGTCTCAATAATCTGATCATTTAACAGAATTTTTTAAAGGAATCTCTTCTTGTTTTTAGATGACTTTTCAACGCTATTTTTTTTTTTATACATTATAAATAAATTGCAATTTTTAACAAATTACACTTACTATAAAAATATTAATAGTAATATTTTATTATGCTGTAGCATATTCATCCCAATGAAGGTAATCTTATTTTTGATCAGTTTCACTTCATAATAAATATTTGTCAGCTTACAATTAAAAATAAATTATATTGAATCTTTTGGCCTATAGCTTCTAAAATAGAGAGTGAGAAATTACCAAGATATTTTGTCTAATCAAAAACATTGAGAGAGAGAGAGAGAAGGATGGTTAATAATGAAGTGTTTACCTTGTGTATGAATATTTATTGTTGTGTCGATTGCAACTAAGCTTGATAACAGGCTGTGAAGACAAAAAAAGAAAAAAACAATCACAGTAAATGAAAAAAACTTTCCAAAATTGATTAGAGACATATGTAATTAATAAGCAATAGATGTAAGTAAAAGTTTATACTTATATCTTGACATAAATGTAAATAATCATATAATGATGATGTTAACTTTCCACATAACCAAAAACAAAACATTTGGGTGGAAACACTTATCAATGCCAGAAATAAGGATAAATGAACTTATTTAGTCTAATTTCCTGAAAAGGAAATTTTTAAGAAAAAAGATTTCATAAATTTCCAACTAACAGAAACACTGTATGATTAATGAATGCTAAATGTTTCCAGTATGGAAATGGACAATTTCACCATTACCAGAGATGCATTTATAGGACAGAGTGAATAGAGCATTGTAGTTAATTGGGGTACCATGGAAATAGGTCAAGGTGGTCAATTGGGGTACCATGGAAATAGGTCAAGGTGGTCAATTGGGGTACCATGGAAATAGGTCAAGGTGGTCAATTGGGGCACAGTGGAAATAGGTCAAGGTGGTCAATTGGGGCACAGTGGAAATAGGTCAAGGTGGTCAATTGGGGCACAGTGGAAATAGGTCAAGGTGGTCAATTGGGGCACAGTGGAAATACTGTTAGGTAGTCAATTGAAGCACAGGAGAAATAGAGCAATCTGATGCCATTGGTATATTGAGTCATAAAAAAATTCATTTGGTTTAATAAGTAATAATAAAAGACAATTTTAAAATTAACTTTATTGCACAACAAATTTTGTTATCTTTTGTATTATTTCAAGCAGCTTTACAACCCAACTCTTTGTAAAGTTTTTTACCCTAAGAACTGCAGTTTTCCAAAACGTTTTTCATTAAGAAAATTCAGAAAAGAGCAAAAGAAACAGTAATCAAATGCTACCATCTCTTATGAAAATAGCAGATGCATGAAAACTTACTGGCCAAAGTTGTAATTATTACTATTTTTTTATTTTTTTTTTTTTTACAAAAAGGGGTTCAAGGTGGTCTCCTTATATTATTTCTTGAATTTAAATCCCTACCTTTTCAGTTGCAGTAGATAATCAGGAACATGTTTCCTTTTTTAATCAATCAATCAAAAAAAAAAAAAAAAAAATCGATTTATCACTAAAGGTATTTTTTTTAGTGACTGTATTAATGCGATGGATGTGTGGATGGTGCAATGGTTATAGGTTTGGAACAAGAAATCAGTGGGCCAAGTTCAATTTTGTGTTCAGAACTGACTTGTAACATTCAGCAACTATGGTTTAAATAGCAGGGCAGACTGAGCTTTTAGCCTTGCTTGACTACCTAACAGTATTTCTGCTGTGGCAACCAGAAGGGCAATTCTGGATTCAAAACCACGTGTGTCTCTTTATAGAGAGGAAAGAGATGTAGCTGAAAGAAATTTTAACCTTTGTAATGCTGATATCTAACAAATGTCACAGACAAATATGTTCATCATATGAAACACGCCAAATGTGGTAGCAGTGTTTACATGTGGTGAGTGCATTCAGTAGGTCTGCTAGGTATTGACACGCGCAGGAGATGCTGGTAGAGTTTACAGAATCTTCCCCTCAATTATCTGGCTGAAAAAGGTAAGTAGTTAAGAGACACCATTCACTGCAAATTACAACTAACAGACAATGGTAATGCAGTAGTACAATTTGGCACATCACTGCACCAGCTGTGATGAAATCCAAGGTCGGACGTATGTGAATACACTGGCACTCGCTAAGTTTCACAATAGCAACAAATTCTTCTCAAGACACTTATTGGGTTGAGAAGTAGAAAAAAAAAAAGACAATTTCTTACTTAATCAGCAATGTCTTCCTTTTGCTATGAGAAAGCATACTTTTTCTAGCTGACTTCTCACTAAGTTCTAGCCATGAAAAACAAACCCCTAGAAACTGAATGCCTGGCTGTTTCACTGACTCACAGTTCGATTCAGTATATGGATATGGGCTGGGGTGACCCACCACCCCTTTCCATCCACCCGTGTTTCACCAAACAAAAAGCCCCCCCCCCTCAAGACATTTGGGTGGTCAGTCATTCAAAGGACCCTACTTTTACAGCTATGTAAAAACACTAACAAAATGTTATGCTCAACAATTCAAAGGCAGGCTGGAGACAAGTTTCCTCAAAAACCATGGTCATTAAATTGAGTTGAAATGAAAAAAAATCTGTGTCTTCATCTCCTGAGGATGTATGAGAAATCGGACTGCTACAAAAAAAAAGCATGGGAACAAAGTAGCAAAATGAATTCTGGCTGACCATCTCGTGAAACATTTATATGCATCTGGTGATAAGATCATCAACTAAAAAAGACAGCTAAAAAATATAATTTAACCTTGATTGCTCAGTTTATCCTGAGTTAAAGGCTGACATAAAAAAAAAAAATGTATGGTACTGAACATGATTATTACTGTAGCCTACCATAATCTACCAAGACAAACTACCAAACTATATACATGTTAACATCTCCAATCAATTAAGATCAGAAGCCATGAGAGCTATGCCTGTATAACATCAAAGCATTATCCTCATAAGGTACTGGCGATGTTTGTCGGTACCAGCTGATCTATCATACCTAAATATGTCTAAACATATTCCTATCATCAAATATGCATATATCTGGTGACGTCAAGATCATGAACTGGAAACAACCAAAAAAAATATAAACTCAGTTGTCCAACTCCACACTGACTTGAACTTCAGAATGACAAAAAAAAAAAAAGAAAAAAAAAGAGAGGTAGATCAGAGCAATTTGGGGGAGAAGTGTTGCCCGCAAAAAGATAATTAATGGGCCCAGGTGATTAAAAGAAGATTCAGAGCATTTGCAAGATCAGAAGGTTGATGTTACTGATTCAGGAAACGACAGGGTTTATTAATGCATATTAAAAACATCCACTGCAAAGTAAATGCCAATTGATTACAAAGAAAAAAAATAAGTTTTTATGAATTTGTTCTAAATACACAAAAGGAAACTGGTTTCAACCCAGGCCAAATAGCATGTCAGATTTTCAGATGCTCTCATTCATTGGGAAGTAGTTCAAAGGAGGATCCATAATCTTTCTAAAGGATTCGAGATGTGCCAGGTTACATCCAACATCAGTGTTGAAAGACCAGTTCTTGTGTGTTCACCCAAGTTAAGCAACATCAAACCTGGTCAGTACCTAGATGGATGAATACCAGGTGCTGTAAGCTTGGATATATGCAGATGGAGTAATGGATAACAGCTCAGGATGAAAGATCAAAGAGCAGAGTACGAATTCCAGTCATGTTCTTTATAGTCACTTATGTTCAAATACTCTTTGGAAAGGCATGAATCCAACTCTTCTGGTGCTCCTGCTGTATATCTCGAGATTCTTGATAAAATTCAAAGAGTCTGTAATGTATTCGATCATGATCTGGCATCTTGACTTCAGTCACTTTCTCACCAACATGACATGGCTTCCCTTTGTCTTTTCTACAAATATTTTCATGGCAACTGTTCTGATGAGCTTTTTCTCTTAGTGTAGGAATTTAAGCATGCTTAACATCTTCCTGTCATTAAATATGCATATATCTGGCGACATCAAGATCATGAACTGGAGACAACTAAAAACAAAAATATAAACTCGGTTGTCCAACTCCACATTGACGAGAGAGAGAGAGAGGTAGATCAGAGCAATTTGGGGGAGAAGTGTTGCCTGCAAAAAGATAATTAATGGGGCCAGGTGATTAAAAGAAGATTCAGAGCATTTGCAAGATCAGAAGGTTAATGTTACTGATTCAGGAGACGACAGGATTTATCAATTTAAGCGTTCTACTAGATTGGCAACTAGGTCCCACCATTTTACTGTTGAACTAGCTAGATGCAACCATCTCTTCTATTGTAACCATTTCTTTTCTCGCACTTCTTACCGAGTTTGGTTTGGTTTATTTTGTTTTACTGCACATCAACCTCAATGGGTTATTTCATGCCAGCAAGATTTTTATTACTGGTAATATTTTTCCCAAAAATGTATTGCCGGCAATATATTTTTTCTTCCATTCTTCATTTCTGGTATTAAAACCTATTTTTACACTTTCACAGTGCTTTGACCCTAGTTTGGGGGTTAATTATTTGTGTCATAGCTGGGACCCTAACAGGTGCTACCACCCTGGGTCAGGGTAGATCTAGGAATACCAGCAATTAAGAGGTAGTTTTACACTCCTCAAAAGCTCCTGATCAGAGGCCTTGCTGTTGGACATAGTTTATCATCTTACCCATGACGCATTTCTCACTTGTGGAACTTCCTTTTGGTTTCTTGCCTCCCTGTTACCTTTTCTCTTCAAAAATTTAAATGCATCGTCAATCACCATCTTTCGTCGTCCTGAATCATGTCCCTTTATTGTCATTTCTCCACTAAAGTCTTCTGACTCTCACTCCCTGTAATCACCTGCATCTTCGTAGCATTATCGCCTTGGTGGGGGTGGGTTGAAATTATTTTTTTTGTTTTTGGAGTAAATCATTATCTCAAAAAAAAAAAAAAGAAAGTATTATTAAATCTTTCAATCTAAAAATATATTCTGCCTTTAAATAACCTGCAAAAGGTTGATTAAACCATAAAAATCTAACCAAACAATCTAGGAGGTGCCAGATGTCTGGTGTATTGGCAGTCACAAAAGATCTAGTGAGTAGTGAACAAAACTTTGGCTGCTGAGACCTTGCCATTGGTTGAGTAAGCAGAAACTTGTGGATAGTTTACAATCAGGTAGAAATGTAGAAAGTAAGTGACTGCGGATTGATCTGGCTGTTTTGAATGTCATGATTGAGAGAGGTAAAAGTCTCATGGATTGAGTCCTCAATTGGCTGAATAGCCTTTGAAAAGACAGGCATCTACACAAATATTCCAAACTGTAATCAATAATAAAGAGTAATACTGAAAGCTGGAATATCAGTCAGTTATGTGCCATGTGTGATACATGCTTAGGTGATTTTTCGATACATGACTGATGAGGCAGATTTTTTCTTGCAGTAGGTTGCCATTTCTCTCTGCGGTAGACCAGTTGCTATCCAAGGCTATAGAGCCTGGTCTGTCCTACTATTTACCCATAGCTTGCAGAAGAAAACAATTCATACCTTTCCCAAGGGTATTAGCACGTAAGTGAATGTAATGGATTTGAGTGGAATTTGAAATCAGCTCTCCGATTCCTCAATCCAAGCCACTATCCATTATGCCACCATGCCTCCACCTGGCCTTAAATACAACCCTATAGTTTTTGAAGGGCTATTAAGTAGAAATCAAATCAAACTCAAATTGTCAGTCTATCAACATTAAATAAGCAGCATGGATTAACTATGAATACTAAAACAAAGATTTAGACTTGAGTTCTTTTTAAGGACAGTTTATTCTAAATGGCTAATTTGCATTGCATACATAACAATCATAAAATGAGGATTTGGGAGTTTTGATAAAAAGCAACATAACCAAAAGAAATAATAACAATTAGAAATACAAATATTACTACCTTTCGGGTGTTTGCCAGTAGATGTTGTTCCTCTTCAGTAGATGTAAGAAGTGGGACCAGACAAGAGGGCTGTTCTTCTTTCATCTTCTTTAGAGCAGGCTCTATTATGTTAAGAAGGTCTTGGACAATGTAGTAGCGGGCCTCGGCCTGTAGTTCTGTGAGACCCACCATAGTGTCAGGCAGTGTGACTTTATCATCTCTTAGGAAATTGAGAATGGTGTCAAAGTGCTTGCCACTGCGGTCAATAAGGATCCAGCCTGGAGAAAAGAGAAAAATAAAAAAATTGTTGTTTTGCTTGAGTGCCGATTTCATTTTGTATTTCAAATGCATCTTATGTAGCAGAAAAGATGGGATTCAGTAGCACAGACACTAGAAACACCCTCACAATGACGTGAATTACAATGAAGGCACAGAAGTGCTTCTGCTGACTCAATGACTTGCCTTTTTACACGTTCTTGCTGAGCCAGAGAATTTGTATATTGAGCATGCTGCCAGCCTCAATCTGACTCACTGACGCATGCACCTCATCATTCCAGCGCCAGTGTTCGGAGAGTCTGTATCGCTAGTAATTTACTCACACATATAGGCTACGCTACTCTAGCCCTCTTGGACCTACAAGGTAATTTTTTATGGCATTAAAACTTTTTTCAAGTTATAGAAATAAAAACGACTGATAAAAATGACAGCAATTTCAGTAAATACTTTCATGGTAATTGTTCAGATGAACTCTCTACTACTGTACAGAGACTTTATGAATTTAAGTGCTGCATTATATTGGCAAAAAGCTCTCATCAATTTACAGTTAAATTGGCTAGATATAATAGATTTATAATAGAGAAGTTTCACACTTTTGGCTTGTGGAACTTTCTTCCGGCTTCTTGCTATCCAGTCAACTTTGGTCTTCAAAAATTTAAATGCAATATCAATCGTTATCTACTGTCTTCCTGATTACTCTTCTATTGTTCTCACACCTTAATGTTTCTCTTTTTTTCTTATTCTTTCACACTCAGTAATCCCTTGCATCTTAGTGGCTTTACTGCCTTGCATGGGGTGAAATGATTAAAATATATATTATAAAACCCAAATGAAAAATGAAGGTTGAAGGACTTAAATTTAGATAAGTCTATTATTTATCTCTAAATAGGAAAAACATTAGAATCTGATTGGAAGAACTAATTTAATTTTAATAAACAAAGTAAGAAAATTATATTTTTTCTCTCAACTTTTGGTTAAAAAGATTTCAACATTAACAAACGTCTATGTGTTATATTTCTGACTTGTCATAAGCTAAATTGAAAATACAAGGAGGAATTTAAAATTTATTCATTTAATCTATGGGGGTAAATTTAGTCATGGCACAAGGCAAGTTGGTTGGTTTATTGGTTGATTTTGTTTAGTGGCATATTAACCTCTATGGGGTATCTAATGCTAAAAATTTTGAACACAATTTTATTGGTTTAACTAAATATATTTTGAACATAATTGTATGCCTTCAACTACAGATAAAATGTATTGTTAGTCATATATATATATATATATATAGATAGATAGATAGATATTTATAAATATAAATGACAATAGGAAAACTGTAATAGTTGCTGATGCGTTTCATCCAACGTGGACTTTCTCAAGTCAAAAAACGAAATGAATTTATTTAAACAAAGTAACTAATAATAACAAAAACAAAATGTCCTTAGCAACTGGAGGAATTTAGAGAATGCTATTTTCATACTGTTAACTCAAAATTATGTCAATTAGTCACATGTGGAGATATTGTTATTATTGCTGTGATTCAACCATTTTCTTTTGATTTCATTATATTGTTGTTTTTCCATCTGTTTGGGAGAGTAGTAGTAGTAAGGTGGAAAAGGGAAAAGGCCTGGACGTAGATTAATATTTGGGCAATATTCAATGGTGGCACTCTCTAGGATTTTCCTTCTGAGTGAGTTATTTTCTTTTTTTATGAGTGTAGCATTCTTAAAATCAAATACAAAAATCAACTACAAAAAGTTTATCCTGCCACCGAGGGTGACTCTGATCCCTGAAGAATAATGTTTTTGAATTTCATAGTTGTGTTGTCATATCCTACTATGGCAACAGAAAAAAAGTTGCCTTGAAAAAGAATGCAATTGAAAGGGAAGTAATATTATTAGGCTGTCCCAAAAGTTTGTAAACACTTGCGAAAAAATGAATTTTTATGCAATTTTTAATTGTTTTTTTACTTTATTGTTAATTTTGAAAAAAATTTATTTCATTAAAATTTTTATTTGTTTTTTGCATTTATATTGTTATAGTGATCTTCATCTTTGTATTCCAGATGGCAATTGATAAAATTGAGCAGCGAGTTTTGATTCATTACTGCTGGAAACTTTGATGCAGCAGGACAATGCCAAGCCACACACCGCCAGGAAGACCAAAGACAAGTTTGAAGAGCTGGATCATGCCAGGTTCTGCCACATCCAGCCTACAGTCCTGACTGTGCTCCATCAGATTACGGCCTTTTCCGCTCAATGCAACACTTTCTGAAGAGCCGCCGATTCGACCTGTTTGATGAAGTCGAGGAAGCGTGTCAAGAATTCTTTGATTCGGTTAGTTGAATGGTACTTTCACCAGATCCCAAAGCTTGCAGATCGATGGCAGAAAGTCTTGGAAAATGATGGTCTTTATTTTGAGGAATAATTTTTGTTGTTTTTGTTATTACTTGGCGAGTAAAATTTCAATTTTTTGCAAGTGTTTACGAACTTTTGGGACAATCTAATAATAATACAGAGTGCTAAAGGTTAAAAGTATTTTATTATACTACAAGCAACGATAAAGTTTTTTTTTTAAATTGGGGTTTTGGGAGGAGGGTTTAAAAAATTCTGGACTCCTGCAGAAACTTGCCAACTCCTAGTAACCAAAATACAAGAATTAAAACACCCTGAGACGAGTAAAAAGAAAGAAAAATATGTCTTAGGAATCAAGGTTTTTTTTATTTTTTTAAATGAACATAGGCTTGTTCCCTACCTTCTAAGTCCATAAAAAGAAAGAAAAATATATGTCAGGAATCAAGGTTTTTTTTTTTCTTTTAAAAATGAACACGGGCTTGTTCCCTACCTTCCGAGTCCGTAAGGACGTCCATCCGTCCTGAAAACATGGCTCGCAGCATTGTGTCATGTTTTGTGAGGGTTTCGATTGTGGTGTAGTACAGCCGGCCGCCAACATTTAGTTTGACGTATTTCGAGGAGATGGTCTTTTTGGTTTCGGTTTTTGGTTCCCCAGACATGGAGATGATCTTCTGATGAACATGGAAAGAACAAATAAGTAAAAAGAAAGATAAATTAAAAAAAAAAATAAATAAATAACCCACAAGATTTACTCTGCTCATTGCAAATTTTTTTTATATTTAAAATTTGTTTTAACAACTTTTGGCAGTGTGTATTAGTACATTTAAAAATCAGGAATGCAAGAGATCACCAGGGGTTAGGAATTAATGTGAGCATTACTGAATGATGAGAGATATGATAAAGATGGAAAGGTAGAGGATGATAATTCAGCATCAGATTTTGAAAAGTGGATCAAGACTGAGAATATTCCTTGTATTACTTACTGAAAGGATAAGATAATTATAATCAGAATGGAAATGCATTGCTAATGATTTTACTATAGAACTGCACCAGGAAATTATGATTTGTATAATTTGCTCTGCTATTATGACATTGAGCACATTTTTCATCTGTGTGTCTTTTCAAGTCCGCTTCCTTTGGAGCCATTTTTTTTTTGTGCATTTTTTATATATATATATATATATATATATATATATATATATATATAATTTACTACCCTACGCTGTATTGAGCACTCTTTTAAGAATAGTATTTTTGGTTATTGGAATTTATTCCATATACACCTATCCTATACTTGGGTGTGTGTATATATATATATATATATATAAATAAATAAAATGATAAATTTCATTCTGCAGCAAGACCTCTGATCGGAAAATTGTAGTTTCAAGGATTGTGGAACCACCACTTAATTGCTGCTGTTCCCAGGTCCACCCTGAACCAGGGTGGTAGCACCTGTTAGGGTTCCAGTTATGGGAAAATAGCATGGTTCAGCAGATGTTCTCTTTATGAGGACAATGTCGAGGTACAAATCCCTAGTGCAGAAATGGCAGTGTCCTCAGTTACTGTTCAAAGCTGATTTGGGATGACAGGCAGAAGAGGCAATCCCATTAAAAATTTTCATTCCACTAGAATTATGGCAAGCTCATTAACAAATCCTGTTTCTGGAGTGAGAACTGCCATATGTGCCCACTGATGTGTGTGATGCTCCCACAGAAACAAAAACAACCAATGAAGGCCAACTGTGATCTAATTAAAAACATTCTGAGCTGGATTCAGACCCATAATCCTGAAATTCCTAAGTTTTCATTACTGCGATTGTTTTTGTATTCTGCCATTTTAACTTCCACTGATAAAAACAATTAAAGGGACACAACTCTCTAACTTTCAATAGCTCATGTTCAAATGAAAATAATTACTGTTCTCAAATTAGTGTTTCAAAATAAAATTGTCCATATTTTCAACTTTTACTCCTAGAGGCCATAGCCCAACATATACCATTTTGGAATCAGGCCTAGTCTGTGAGCTAATTAAAAGCACTCCAGGCTTGATCCAAACCCAAAATGATGCCTGATAGGGCAGTCTTTTTAAGCTAGTGTGTACATATATATATATATATATATATATATATATATATATATAAAATAAAAAGGGATGGATTTTTTTATTTATTAATCTGATAGATTTTATTACTCAGACATTATTTTCCTAACAGTATGTTTATCTTCATCTACTGGCCTGAATATCTTATTAGAGATCCGAACCAGTGTTTAAAAGCACTATACAACTTTGCTTGACCATTGACACACTCCATGGGTGAGAAGTCCAAAGCATGTCAGATCTAATGACAATTTCCCCTAGAGAGGGTTGACAAAGAGTGGAAGAGATTCATATAGGAGCCAACAGATAGCATGCAGCTAAGAGATAGACAACTGATGTCTAAAAACAGCTTTTGATTGTCACATCATCTGATATATCGCAATGCACCAACACAGGACATGATGCTGTGATGACCAGAGATTACATCGTCGGGTACAGGCAACTGAACTTTTTAAACAATTCACTTGTGCAGGTAAAAATTTTATTTACTGAATCTTATTGATGAGAGTATATATATATATATATATATATATATATATATATATATATATATTAAGAAAAAATATAAAAAAAACAAACAAGAACCCTAATATGCAATTATGCTGTTTTAATGTTAATATAATGTCAACGTCGGACCATTTTCTCATATAAATAGTTCGTTAAGAAAATTGTTCAATCGAGCTTATCTAATATTTTGAAATCATCTTCGAATATGTTTTCACAACATTGCTCACGTGACGACAACGTGATCATATTAAAACGGAACGCTAATCTTATATAAAAATTTCAGTTATCTGTTTGGATTAGTCTTGATCTTGTGTCCATCGTCTTTTTCATGTTGAATTGAATATAGTCTAATGTCAATTATGTTTTATGAATATGTCCTGAATATTAGACCGAAACGTCCGACGTTGACATTATATTAACATTAAAACAGCATGATTGCATATAAGGATTTTTGTTTGTTTTTCCGTATATTTTTCTTCATACTGTCAGATCTATATCCATATATTTGCTTATATATATATATATATATATATAGCAATTAATTTCAATTATTCCCAAGTTATAAAAATTGTTATCATAAATATAAAAAAAACACAGTAATGAAAAAGTGGGACTCCAAAATTTCAGGATTGCAGGTCCAGATTTGCTCAGAGTTGGTCTAATTCCAAAAATGGTATATGTTGGACTGTGGCCTCTAGGAGTAAAGTTAAAATAGTGTGACACACTGACATTTGCATATATATATATATATATATACATATATATATACACACACACACACACACACTGCAATGAGTTTAGACCATAGCACCAGAGCAAAATACAAAAAAAAAAAAAAAAAATTTTTTTAAATTAATGAAAAATGTCACGTTTTTCTAAATAATCTGGTTGCGAGGATTTTCCAAGAAAAATTTCGACTTGAGCCCTATGAAGATATATTTTCAAAGAAAAGAGGTAGATGAAAAAGAGAAATTACAAATAGCTCTGCACACACCTGATGGTGTTATATACACCGATTTCATAGTGGTTGTGAGCAAAGATGCCATATCAGCCAATTTCTTCCTGCAGCCCTTCAGCGTCAATGCTGTCACTGACATCAAGTCGCTTAACACAGTGGTCAAACTCTAGATCATTAGGGATGATGTCTAAGTAGTACCCTGCTCTTTCTCACATAATCCATGAGTGGCTAGCTGGGAATTTTTAGCTATCAATCTACCCCCATCCTAACATGACCACCCATACAGACACATTTAAACCAGCATGGAATCACTCCCAGTGGTAGGTCTATATTTTTCGGGTCCTGAAGCTTGAACAGATATAGGGGATAACCAGCAAAAGTAGATTATGGTGAGTTCATACAGCTAGGGGTTCATGCACTGCACCCCTACAAGAAAATCTTTAAATTTAACAAATTATAGGGGAATTTTGATGCCATATGAAACTAGAAGATATTCTAAGGCTAACATTAGCTACTTCAACCCATTGGCTTATAATTCTATCACTAAAATGGTCTTATTTTAATAAAAAAAAAAAACAAAACAAAACAAAAAAAAACATTGATTTTGTTGAAAAATTCCCTCATAAAAAAAGTTACTTTAGGAACCCCTCTATGACTAGGGGCCCTGAAATTTAAGCTTCATTAATTTCATAAGAGATCTGACACTAATTGTACAAACCTCAATACACAACATACTTGTTGAGAACACAAATATATGTACCTCCAACTGCAAAAAAATCCATTAAAATGTATTTTAAATGCTTTTTAAATAAATATATTTTAGGCATAAAACTAGTAATGTATAAACATATTTTATTTAAAGATAAATCTTTCTTTCTTTTGGCATTGACAGGTGAATTTCTTATAAGCAGAACTGTATATTGTCATAAATTAAACTAGATAGAAATATTATGAAAAAAAAAAAAAAAAAAAAAAAAAAATTAAAATATTAATAAGAATAGATAGGTTCCCCTATGACCCAGTTTTTTGAACAGGAGTAGAGGTTTATCCCTAGTTTCCTGTTTAGAATTGAGTTTACAGTTCCTTCTCCCAAAGTTTTCTCTTTCACACCCAGTAACCCCTTTGCATCTTAGTGGCATTATTGTCTTGCCTGCAATGAAATGATTAAAAAAAAATAACAGAAGCTCTTATTATAAAAAAAAACCCCAACCCTTAGCATAAATTATGAATACAAGTATACCTCACCCTATATTGTTAACTGTTCCAGAGGTCACAAATTAGGTTGAAAAATGACTTAAGTCACAATAACAACACTGTAAACAGCAAATAAGCACTCACCATTGCCTATTACAGTAATTATGATATGTACACACAGTAATCTGAATAAAATAATCAATTTACACTTTATGTTCCAGCGATATAGGCTTACCGATAACATTAGTACCCGCACTGAGACTTTTCTTTGGAGCCATGAGCAAAAATGTATCCTAAATCATAATTGAGATGTAACTAAAAGAACGTCAATGATAGAGAACAAATGTAAACAAGTCTGAATTCAAAATTGGTGTCGTAGTGGAAAACAATAATGCAGAAGTGCCACCTGTCAACGGGAATTTCAAATAAGAACATCTGCTGAACATACTTTATTATGCTAATTTATTTTGTTTTTGATTATATATATATATATATATGTATGTATGTATATATATATATATATATATATATATATATATATATATATATATAGAGAGAGAGAGAGAGAGAGAGAGAGTATACATATTATTTTTGAATTTATTTAAATATGATTTTATGTGTGTTTATTGTTAGTGTTTTCACGCTTCTAATATTTCCAACAGCTGACGTAAACTTGAGTAAAAACGACTTAAAGCGAGTTTTATTTTTCCATGTAATATTTAAGAAAAACTGATATATCTTCAAAAATGACAACTTGAAACAAGTTAAGCTGAGGTATTACTGTATGGTTAAAATATACTGGTCATATTTGAGAATTATGTCTACTTTTCAGTAAGTTTTTTAGATTAACTCACCGTTTTTTATTATAGTAGCATAGCTAGTCATCAAAAATGACTAATAGATTAGCCGAAAGCACCCAGATTTTTTTTTTTAAACACTCATAAGACCAGAAAATAAAATACTTGTTTGCATACAAGAAAAATGATAATATAAATTTTTTTAATAAAGGTATCTTGTCAATCTTCCTTAAGGTAGATAACTTAGAGTACACGGTTTTATAAGAGGATAAATTAGTGAGAATTAAAATTACTGGTTGGATGAGTTATGATCCATTACACTGAAAAGGTCAAATGAGTACTTGGAGTTGGAGTGGCCCGCGATAAACTTTTTTTTTTTTTTAATCTAGTGATTAGAAAGTGGTAATTTCAATCTTTTTGAGACAAGTGAATGTGAAATGTTTTCCGCTGAAATTAATAACCAACTGAAGAATTAAACTTTTGTTTGTTTATTTTAGAGTTTTTTTTTGTTTTTTTTTCAAAGTTGACTTTCGAATTGTATATTTTTTTTATGGTTTAAAATAAAAAACGGAACTGTATAATCATGGCGGGTTTTAATCCGATGTTTTGAAACAGATTCGGAGATATTTTTTATTTAAGGATATGCATGAGATTTTATAAGGATTATTAGTATTTTATTTTTTAATTATGTATGTGTGTCTATTATATATATATATATATAATTTAATTTTACTTTTGCTTGATTGTTTTACGAAAACAAAGCTCACTATAAAAAATTTAAAAAAAAAACTTTTGGGGTTTTGTTTTGTTTGACACACATACACAAAAAAACTAGAAAAAAGCATTTTGAGCTCAAAATGAAGAAAAAAATGTTAAAAACTACAGAAATAAATAAATATAATTTTTTTGAGTCATATATTTTTAACGATCTTGATTTTATTCGTAATTTCGGAACTTGATTGCAAATAAATAAATATCCCATTTTTTACAGGTTTTTTTTTTTTTTTTAATAACTTTTAGTTTTGATTGTGTATTGGTTTGTTTTGTTTCGTTTTTTTTTCAACGTATTTTTATATAATATTTTATAAAAAAAAAAGAAAAGAAAACGAATGTTTTGTCACAAAAAGAAATCAAATTAAACTGGAGTCTATATAACATTTTTTATGCCGATTTATTTTTAAACATAAAAATTGATTGAGAATTTTTTAAAGCATCCATTCGATTTAGAGGTAAATTAAAATAAAAAAAAAAAAGGAAGAAAAATAAAAAGGTGGGGAGAACAAAAAAAAAACTCACCAACAAACAAACACTCCTGGAAAGAAACTTAAAATACTAATAAAAAAAAATCTGTATATAAATGGCACGTCGATCGAAGGAGAGTTTGGAGGAGGAAGAAAAAAAAAAAAGAAGGAAAACGACTACGTGGATCCACAAACAACGACGACTGTCCAAGGATGATAAACCAGGTGGTGGACAGTGTCGTGGGTGTTTGGGGTCAGTTTCTTCGAGGTCAATCGAGCCAGATTTGAGGGTCAAACAGGCAAATTCTTAGGATCGCATCGACTACTTCTCGCTTCTTCTCAGCGGCGACCATGAACGTCACAATAACATTGCGGTGACGTCATACAAATGTTGCGGTGACGTCATTCAGGGAGCGTCTCGTTATTACTATCGACTTCCAGAAACAGAAAAGACTGACCACTAAAGGGTGGGGCACTTTTTTTTAATCCCTGGATAAAATTATAATTCTTCATTTGATTGAAAATTATTTTTACGCTTATATATATATATATATATATATATATATATATATATATATATGTGTGTGTGTGTGTGTGTGTGTGTATACCCAAGTATATAATTGGTATATACGGAATGAATTGCAATAACCAACAATTACTATTCTTAAAAGTGTGCTCAATACAAAGTAGAGCAGATATAATTATTATTTATAAAAAAATTATAACATAAATATGTTTTTCAAACTTTTAAAACCATTTATTTTATCTTCAACATCATCACTTGATAAGACACCGAGTGTGTTGAAACAAAATGGCTATTTTTGTAGTGATTTTATAACATATTTATGTTATAATTTTTTTATAAATAATAATTATATATATATATATATATATATATATATATATAGTTATATATTTAGGCAGCAATCCTTCGTTTGTGCATATTTCATTAAAAAAACGACAGACAAGGTACTACGGTAAAGCTTTTTATTTAATTTTTCTTGTGTTCTAACAAGAGCTTTCTTTTCTGGGCAAAGAGTGTGTAGAAATTGTCCAAATGTTTTATATTTCCAAGCACTTTCTGCTATACCTTTAGCCATTATCAAGGATGATTCGATTTAGTTAGATCCAGTGACAGGACCCAAATAGTGTGAGTTCAATACCTGGTTAAGGTGGTGGACAACTTTGATAGGGGAATTAACAGGAGATAACTGACGTCCATTTGACATGTCATGTGGAACTAGAACAGTCTACCCCAGTGCATGAAATAAAGGGTTCAGTTCATCATTCCAATCACCTAAAGAAGGCCGGAGTGTACAATGGCCGAAATGTTGTGATAAACATGGCGACAAACATGAGGACCAAATAATGTAAACAGTGCACATAATACCTCATCTCAGAAATATAGACAGATATTAAATATAAGATTATTTATTTCATAAAAATTCTTGCACAAGGCCAAAGGGGAAATGGGCAGAGACTGGTCTTCATTAGCTATTCTAGTTAATTACAATCACAACCCTTCCATTCATTACAATGTCTGTTCACCATGACTAATCCATCACCACTTAATCCAGCATATACCGAAATACCACATATTCACAGAAGCCCTACAAAACATGAAATTCCATGATTTATTAAATGATGGGGTGGGTGGGATTATGAAACCTGAAAATAAACTAAAATGAAACACAAAGATAAAACTAAAACAAACCAATGCACACAAAACATATGGCCACAGTGGCCAGAGGCCTGCTTGATGAGAAGTCACAATCTTATACTAAAGGAAGACCAACAACAACCACAGGTTTCACAAAATACTAAAAATCTCAACAAAACATAAGCTGGGATTTGTTACGCCAAATGAAGGTGTGAAAATGGCCAGGAAGTGTATTCCAATTAGGTTTATAAAACAAAGTGTACTACAAAGTCATTAGATCAATTCTAAAACTAAATAAAATTAAATTACATAACATGTAGGGAACACAAGGAAAAGGTTACGGTCAAAGTGTCCTGTTCATTTCTGTTCGGGAACAGCCAATGGCAGCTGTGACAAGATAATATATCTGTGACTAAATGTTAAAAGTAAGTCAAGTTGGCATGTAAGTTCACAGTTCGAAAGTTAAGTTCACATGTCTGGTGAAAGTGTTGAAAAGTTGCTGGTTAAGTCCAATGATAACCCTTCAATATTATTTTAACCAAAGTGTATGGGGTAGGTTATTTGAAACCTGGGCAATATAGCCAAAGAGAAGGAAGTTCTATTTAAATATCCAGTGCTGGTATTGCGTAGTTGCTGGTTAAGTCCAATGGTGAACCTTTTGTAGTATTTTAACTGAAGAGTACAAAGTAGGTTGTTTGAGTTTGGATGATATGCATACAGCAATTTCTTAAACCAGGTGAGTTAGTTTGACAGGAAAGCCGGAAGCAGGGACCTAGTGTAGCCAGAAGTTTAACGCAGTTGTAACCAGGTCCATTAACATTGATCAAACAAGTGAGTTAGGTTGAGATATAGATGCTAGAAGTAGGGACCATGGTGTAGCCGGAAGTTCAGGGCTGTAGTAAGCAGGTTCATTAACTCCAGTAGCTGGAAGTAGTAAAGGTCAGGATTGCTGAAAGTAGCATGAAGTACCATGGTAGCCTGAAGTAGTAAAGGCTAAGAATGCCAGAAGTAAGGGTCTGAGGTAGCTGGAAGTAGGAATGGATAGGAAAGCCCAACTAGCATACAGTTGGCAGACAAAAAATAGGGGACAGTAATTTAATACACAACCAGTGTTGACTTATCCTGAACAACAGTACAGACTTCCATAATCATTTCCTCCTCTTCCCTCCTAGGCTTGGTGAGAAGTTGCTAGGTTATATGATAAGAGTGTATATTTATGGGATAAAGTGCTCAATATCAGAGATAGAGCATATGTAGATAGAAAAGTGAACAGTGAAGTCAGTCTGACAGTTATGTCTAGCATGAAACAGTCTGTTGCCTCTGAGTGCTGACTTCAATGTTCACTTTTATATATATATATATATATATATATATATATATATATATATATATATATATGTGTGTGTGTGTGTGTGTGTGTGGACATTGAATTTAGCATGAAACAGAGTTTAGGCACACACACATATAATATCTATCTATCTATCTATCTATATATATATATATATATATATATATATATATATATATATATATAAATATACATATTATCCTGCAGTAATTGCACTACTCAAAGTTTCATGCACAAATGTAATCTGCACACTCAGCACCTGAAGATTGCAAATGGTGCAGGATAATATGTATATCTATTAATATATATACTTTATAGATGTGTTATATAACATTAATCACTTTTCCAATAACACCAGCACTTTCTGTGCAATTTATATATATGTGTGTGTGTGTGTGTTTGTGTGTGTGTGTGTGTAATAATAAATGCGAGCAAGAGAAGGCCTAAGGAAGCTTTATTCTGGTTAGAATATTTGATACAAGCATAGTGACCATTTATAGTGCTCTACAAACAAAAGATTTCTCCAAAGGGAGGTAATCATAAAACAAGGGAGATTACTCCTGATTACTTTATTATGATATATATGACAAATTATTGACCTGAAATATTCAAACAAAGAATGTAAGCTGTAATATGCAAAAACGATTTCGGTGTTTTAAATTTTTTTCCTTATTGATTTTTCACTCTACTCATGTGATTTTTAATTTAAACATCCAACTGGTTTTCAGGTATGAATCCATCTCCTCCCCCAAACTATCAGTTAAATAGTAGGTTTTGTATATTCTCCAATAAAAATTATTAATGCATTATTCAATCAATAAATAAAATTATATATATATATATATATATATATATATATATATGTAAAAGTGTATATAAATATAAATAAATATATATATGTATAATTATTTATATGTTATATGCGCGGTACTTATTAGAAAGTGCTCAATATCAGAGATAGAGCTAACATATTTGGTTGATAGATGTGAGTTTAGACCCTGGGTTTCATGCTTTAGCGATCGTCAGACAACAATCGCTAAAGCGTGAAACCCAGGGTCACAAACTCACATCTATCCAACCAAATATCTATCTATCTATATCTATCTATCTATATATATATATATATATATATATATATATATATATATATATATATATATATATAAGAAGGAGTCACTGTGCAAAATCTTGTATTTTTGTGGGTTCTGGGGTAGTGGGGGTAACAAACTCAAGGGCTCCCCAAGGTAGCACCCACTTTGCCCTGGTTGACACACCCTCTAGAACTATCCAAGGCATCTCCTATATAGACTGCATAAAAATGATGCAATGTGAAACACCGTCAGACAAGAAACAGGCCGATTGGAAGACCTCATAACGACTTTCAAGAAGGCAAAGTTGAAATGGTATGGCCATGTTATATGGACCAACAAACTTTTCACTGCCATCCTACAAGGTATCAAACAATAAAAATTTTGTCGGCATTAAATAATCCATTGAGGTTGATATGCCGTAAAACCAAAGCAAACCAAACCCACAAGGTATCACCTTAGATAAAAGAAGATGAGGCAGACAGAAGGAAAAATGGTTAGCCAACATCACTGACTGGACTGGGAGATCCTTCACAGATACTCAGACATTGGCATGCAACCAAAACAGATGGAAGGAGTTGATCAGGTGTTTAACTGAGCAGTGATCCTATGACTACACCCAGTCAGGGAATTGATGATGATGATGATGATGATGATGATGATGATGATGATGATGATGATACTAAACAAATAGACTATGAATCAAGCTTAATGAAAATAGATAGATAGATAGATAGATATATAGATAGATAGAAATCTTAGGTACAAACAGATAGATAGATAGATAGATAGATAGATAGATAGATAGAAATCTTAGGTACAAACATATTGATATTTATGTAGATAGATAGATAGATAGATAGATAGATAGATAGATAGATAGATAGATAGATAGATAGAAATCTTTAGGTACAAACATATTGATATTTAGATAGATAGATAGATAGATAGAAATCTTAGGTACAAATATATTGATATTTAGATAGATAGATAGATAGATAGATAGAAATCTTAGGTACAAACATTGATATTTATGTAGATAGATAGATAGATAGATAGATAGATAGATAGAAATCTTAGGTTAAAACATATTGATATTTATGTGATAGATAGATAGAGATAGATAGATAGATAGATAGATAGATAGATAGATAGAAATCTTAGGTACAAACATATTGATATTTAGATAGATAGATAGATAGATAGATAGATAGATAGATAGATAGATAGATAGATAGAAATCTTAGGTAACACATATTGATATTTAGATAGATAGATAGATAGATAGATAGATAGATAGATAGATAGATAGATAGATAGAAATCTTAGGTACACACATATTGATATTTAGATAGATAGATAGATAGATAGATAGATAGATAGATAGATAGATAGATAGATAGAAATCTTACGTACAAACATATTGATATTTAGATAGATAGATAGATAGATAGAAATCTTAGGTACAAACATTGATATTTATGTAGATAGATAGATAGATAGATAGATAGATAGATAGATAGATAGATAGATAGATAGATAGAAATCTTAGGTTAAAACATATTGATATTTATGTAGATAGATAGATAGATAGATAGATAGATAGATAGATAGATAGATAGATAGAAATCTTAGGTACAAACATATTGATATTTAGATAGATAGATAGATAGATAGATAGATAGATAGATAGATAGATAGATAGAAATCTTAGGTACACACATATTGATATTTAGATAGATAGATAGATAGATAGATAGATAGATAGATAGATAGATAGATAGAAATCTTAGGTACACACATATTGATATTTAGATAGATAGATAGATAGATAGATAGATAGATAGATAGATAGATAGATAGATAGATAGATAGAAATCTTAGGTACAAACATATTGATATTTATGTAGATAGATAGATAGATAGATAGATAGATAGATAGATAGATAGATAGATAGTAGTGTGGGTCAATAATTATTTATAGCTTGATACCTCTTATGCTAAATTTTGACCCGAAATGTTCAATGTATAAAGTTTGATCTATAGGATGAATAAGTCACCACTGAATTAAGTGCATTGACAAGGTAGAATATTATGTTGAAAAAGTAAATATTTTTTGTGCAAAATAAATACTTTTTCATCATTAAACTTTGAACTAACTAATGTACCTACTTATAGATAATTATTGTGAACTTTTTATTTATTAATAATAATATACATACATACATAGAAATATGATATCTCTTAATGAAATCAATAGTTATATCTGACCCAGATAAGTGGTATATCTGTATAACCTAAAATCGAAAAGATAAATCTTTTGAATTTTATCTATTAACTATACATGATGATTGTCACTTCTTTGCAGAAAAAGACTATCTCTTCACTTGGTGACTTTTGTGTTTTTCATTCAGAATTTTATTAGTTCCATAAATAGTATTATTATCATAATATTATTTCCACCAATAGTATTATTATAATAATTTTATTTCCATCAATAGTATTATTTTAATAATATTATTTCCATAAATAGTATTATTATAATAATATTATTTCCACCAATAGTATTATTATATTAATATTATTTCCACCAATAGTATTATTATAATAATATTTCCACCAATAGTATTATTATAATAATATTATTTCCATCAATTATATCCAAGCTAATATTCTTCTAAAATTCTTAAGAACAGCTTCAATTTTACAACCTTTCATAAGCATGTGGCAAATATAAAGTTTGCCTGTGTTACCTGAGTTGGAAACTTGCCTGTCTCTGTGTACAATACTGTGATATTTGAATCATGCAACTGACTAATATACTTGTCATAAACCTTGCACAAGTAATCTGCATCCAACAGCAAGGCCTCTGATCAGGAGGTTTTGAGTAAAGTGAACACTAACCACTTAACGGTGTGCCTATACATACATACATACATACATACATACATACATACAGTGGTGGACTATGTCTAAAAATATTTTTTGCCAAGAGACAAAAGAGGCACACCCACAAAAAATACACATGATAAAAAGGGTACAACTAAAATTTATGAGAAAAAAAAATGAGTATTTCTTAATAATTACAGTCTACACGTACTGTACTTATTACTGGCAGTAGATATCAATTTTTTTTTTTTTTTTTAAATTTTAAGTCATTGTTTGATATTTTTAAATACTTCACTGCAAAATTTCCACACACACACACACATAAATCTAGAATAGTAAAATGAACAGTTGAATATAAATAGTCAGAGATAGTCAAGAGAAAATCCAACAATCACAGCCTGGCGATTGCATCTAGCACAAAACAACCTGTTACCTCTGAGTGTTGACTTCAATGTTCACTTTTATATTTACATACCCTCTATCCCAGATATTGAACACTTTATCCCATAAATATAGCACACCTTAAAACTATATTTCTTCATTTAAAACAAATAAACTGGCATTTTCTGGTTGTTGGCTCTGATATGACAATTTAATTTATTGTCACTCTTATCTTTAAAAATACCAACATACTTTCTTTATGCATAGTTTTGTCTTTTATTATGATCTGAAGAAGCCAAGACCAACCAATTTTGGTGAAACAAATTGTTTATAAGTTTTTCCAGTTTATCTCATCATCTTCACTTACACACATATATAAATCATTTTGTACTGTGTGTTTGAAAAAATGGTGCTTTTGTCATGGTCACCTTTTGCTTCTCAACCTTTGGCTAAGCTCAAAGTGTAGTATCTGTTCTTATCAGTTTTTCAATGAAATCAAGTAGTATCTTTTCGCCTCTTTCCACACAATCAAAATGGAATAGTCCATTGTTTATGAGGTATTGGCAAGGCGTAATGGCCGTGTGAACTTAGTTGTTGTCCAGGTTTTTTTTATATTAAAAGTCTGAATGTCCAAATTTCAAACAATAATAAAAATAACGAAAACATGGTCTCATGCCTGTTAAATAAATCATATTTGCAAACATATGTATGTGAATTCAAAAGTGTCAAAAAGGAGTAAAAATAGCCTTTAGTTGAGTTAAAATCTTAGGGTAGTCAATACACAGAAAAATCTGTACTTTAGAAAAGACTTTTAGTAGTTGGTCAACAGTAAAGAGCTGTGTTTGAGAAAAGACTTTTGAATAGGTGTTCCACAGTCAAAGCTTTGTTGAGAAGAGACGTTGATCCTCAGTGAAGATTCACTGACAGTTCCTGCTGTTGTTGTTGGAGATGGTTTGTTTGAAGTCACCGACACATGTTTCTTTCAGTACATACTGGAGGTGGGGAGGCAAAAGCTATGTAGTCACACCTTCCCTTATGTTTAAACGGCTTGGAGACAGTCACATCTCTGCTCTCAAAAGTTAAAAATATGTTTTTATAAGAAATTTTTCCTGAAAGTAGGCTTGAAAAAAAAAAGGGTTTTAACTTTCTCTGATTGGTCAAATATTTCACATGGTGATCTTAATTTCTAACAAATAGACACTTTCATTTAAATAATGTGTGTTACATTGTGCAATCTTTTTGACATGTTTGTAAATATTGTATGTTATTGGGTAGAAAATAAAGTTTGGGCGTGTTTTAATATGGTATGTATGTGGATATGTAATTGTGTTTGAAATAGGGTTTATTTCCTATAAAATGACAATTTAATGATAGACACCGTATTATCCTTGTCTTTGTTGTTTTTATCAGGATAAATTGGTATCTAAAAAAAGAATACCCACTCGGCCCGGTGGCTAGGATCAAAGTGTAGTATCTGCGCTTTGTGAGCTGCCGGGTCGGGTGTCTGTCGAACTCTCTGCTTGCAGAGAGGAACCCGGACGAAGCTCCGCCAAGGGTGGGGTTTCGTTCGGGGAGGTTGATTTGAACTAGCCCGCTTGGACGGGTTTAGATGGGTTTTATTTTGGCTGGGCCTCACGGGCTCAGACATACCCACATTAAAAAGGCCTTGTGCCACATTCAATTCCTGTGGGTGAATTGATAAATACCATCAGGATAAATTGGTTGTTGTCTTCTTTGTCTTCTGAGGAATGTTCTTAAATATGAAAGGCTTAATACAAATTATTTACACTATTTACATTCAAACTACTATCCCCATCTTTGTTGTTATCCCAACGTTTCAACCATTGTGCTCTCCAGGCTTCATCAGGTGTATATCTACAAAAAATTCCAAACTGAACCCTTAATTTGAAGGGCATAATGACTGAAACATGATAAAACAACAAAGATGAGGACAATAGTCTACATCTAAAGAATAACTTCTATCTTTTTATGAACAAGAAACAGCGAGTCTTGGGTTTTCCCAAATTGAGGACTATGAGCTGGAATTTCTTCCTATATCTGGGAAAGATATATTCCTTAAGGGAAATGGCACTATGGACCTATAAGCTGCTCAATGCGGCAGATGTAGCCTCTACTCAGGCCACGGTAGGCCCAGGCTAAAGAAAGCAACCATTCAGTTTAGCTGCTGTAAACAAACTGAAATAGGCTGCCACTTTCATCACTGTATGGAGTGACGTCATTAAGCAGTCTGTCCCGTGACCCCTGTGATCCAAAGAAACTCATCAGAATTTGTAAAACCAAATGAACGCCTGGTTCACACCACTTCCTTGTCTTTTGGACAGGAGAAGAGGTTTATCCCTTTTTTCAGGCAATCAGAACTTTTGCTGAAAAGTGCTCAACAGAGAAGTAGAGCTTTGATAGTCAATAAATTCAGTTCAATTGAAAATGTATTTTTAGCATTTCTTCTAATGTGTATAAATATAAAATATAGCAATAATTTCAATAGATTTATCAAACAGTTATAAAGAACAATCGTTACATAATTAACTCTCCCTACCTGAATACATGTGCTTGAATCACATATGCTCTTACTTGAACTCTTTTATACTTTCAATGGCTTCACGAATATGCCAAAATTTTATTTACTAATTTTATTTATTTTAACAATAGGAGTTGATAGGTTTGCCTATTGCCCAGTTCACACTCTTTCCCCATCTTTTGAACAGGAGTAGAGGTTTATCCCTTGTTTCCTGTTTAGGATTTGGTTTCCGGTTCCTTCTAAAGTCTTCTCATTCTCTTTCACTCCCAGTAGCCCTTTGTGTCTGAGTGGCATTATCGCTTTTCTTGGGGTGAAATTATTAAAAAAAAATACCCGTTCTATGAACAGAAAACTTCTCATATATCTTTCTCTCTCTCTCTCTCAAAAAAAAAAGTAAAATAAAAAAGGTTGGAATATTTGAATCAGTGTTATGTGAAAATTTTTTGAAATGTTAAAACCAACTATACTTTGAATTTGTAAAATAAAATATAAATAACATAAAATAAAATAAAAAATACAAATATAAAATATATAAATATAAATAAAAAATACAAATAACATACAATAAAATAAAATAAAAAATATAAATATAAATAAAAAATATAAATAACATACAATAAAATAAAAAAAAAATATAAATAAAATATAAATATAAATAAAAAATATAAATAACATACAATAAAATAAAAATAAAAAATATAAATAAATAAAATTCTCAGATTAGTCTTATTTGGATTTGAAAAGTTATACTTCAGAACTTAAAATAAAAAATAACAAAAAAAGTTTTGAAATGCGATACGATTTATTTCAACTAATCTTTCTGTAAGTAAAAACGGAAATTTAATCTTAATCTCTTTGAAGAATATGCATGGATATGTTTCAGGAATCAGGAAAAAAAATACTCTCTTTTTTGACTTTTGGATTTATAGATATATTTATTCAGCACAGGTTTTACAAAGTCTGTCCATGCTTCCTTTCCAAATTTTATCAGACCTAAATTTAGTTTTCCAAAATCTATTTTATATTATTTCAAATGCATGACTTTTCGAATTCAAATGGGATCTCAGAATATGTTTTTTTTTTCAGTGTGCCCATACCACTATCAAATATGATCTAAGGTCAATTTAAAGTGGGTTTAATGGCAATATCATGGAAAAATTGCTCAAGCACCCTCGGAAATTCCCCTTTTTGGGGACACCTTAGGCACTAGTTAATTCACACTCCACCCTCATTTGAACAGGGAGTATCACTTGTTCCATGTTTAAGACTAGGTTTCCGGTTCCTTTCAAAGTATTTTGTTATCCTCTTTCACTGCCTGTAGCCTCTTGCATCTTAGGGATATTATCACCTTGATTGGAGTGAACTGATCAAAAGAAAATTAAATGTGAAATCTGTGAAATCTGATAAGCCCACCCCAGAGAGGGTAGTCTTATACATCCACACGAGAATGTAGAGTCTGCAGGCCTCAGAATCACAGTAGATAGGTTCACCTATCATTTGGTTCAGGCTCCTTCTGGTTCTTTAGAATAGAAGTTTATCCCTGGTTTCCTGTTTAGGATTTTGGCTTCCTGTTCCTTCTGAAGTTTGCTTCAACTCTATATTTCTAACATCTCTGCCTAAACTATGAGATTTTATTTACTACTAGCAGTAGAGCCTGGCGTTGCCCGGGGATGTAACAGTAAGAGATAGATCAAGTATCCACCATCATAAAGACTGAAAAATAAAATTGACAAAGATTATTGTTTAAGGTTGACGGACACACATGTCTTAATTAGTTTTTTTGTTTTGTTTTGTTTTTTTTACGAATTGGTCAAACCCAAACTCAAACAAAAACATTGTTTTTAATCGTTATGAGTCTACCAATTGAATAGAATTTTATTATAAACAATTGTCTTGTAAATGGAATTTTTAAAACATTCTGAATGTAAAAATAAAGAAAAAAGTGTGCAAGACAATAAGAAACACTACCTGCCAAAAAAAAGTGAAGTTTTGTTGTAATCGGTTGAAAAATGTAGGAAATCCGATCCCATATATAAATGAACACACAAACAACCTGGGTTTTATAATAAGTATGATTTGGTTGTATTGCGGTGTTGGAGACACAAGAGGCAGTAATACTAAGTAAAATTGTGAGTTTGGGTTCAAATAGTGATCAGAATCTGACAAAAGGATAAGATAAAGAATAAGTAAATTGTATATGGTCTTTCTTATATGTTTTTTTTTTTTTTTATATAGATGTGTGTAATGAATGTCCAGATAATTTAGTTAGAAAAATACAAGAAGTGTCTGGGATTTTCTTACCTTGAATTTTTGTTGAGTGCTAAGAGATAAATGTTACTATTATAGCTTGAAAAAGGAAAAAGAGGAAATTTTTGTTGATGCACTTGTTAACGACCTGTCTGTGTGAACTGCTTGCCCGATAGTGAAAAGTCACATGTTTGTGTGTGTAGAGGAGAAAAGTGGGGTCAATTCTCATTGGTTTAGAATGAGTGAATTAATGATAATTATTTTATTATAATTATTTTTGACACAATAATTAATTACTATTTATTTACTTTTTCTGACCCAATGTACATATAAACAGACTTAACAACACAATGATGAAACAAGGCATTTAAACAAGTGAATAAGAATATAAAGATTTCTTTATCAACAAATAATTTATTTGGATGTTTTATACATCGTGTGGTGAATATAATAAAACCCTTGAGAAGAAGGGTAAGTTCATATGTACCCATTTAGATGTGTTTAATAAAGTCCATGAAAATGGAAAGGTACAAAGGCACATGTTGAGGTGTGTTTAATGAAACACCTTGAAAGGTGAAAAGTTCATACCTTGGTTTCATTGTAAAATCTACATTAGAAATGTGGTAAATGTTTCAGTGGATTTGTAAATCCGATTGATTTGTTAACGCGGAATCCATTGTAGAACACTGTGTGGGTTTATGTGTTGTTAAATTAGGAACACATGCTGTTTATTCCTGCTAGAAAGTCCAACTACAAGAACAATGCGGACTCAAGTTGAGTCCAACCGAAGATGTAAAGAAAACAAACAAGACCGATATATATATATATATATATATATATATATACATTAAGAATTGGACAAAGTCCGACAATTTATTAAAGACATTTTAATGTTTAAAATTCTTTTTATAGATACAAGTATTTAAGTAAATGCTCTGTTTATAATAAACAGTATTAAATAACATTTACCGGCCTGAATGTCCGAGAAATTTTCATAGAAAATATTCGTCCTTTGACAGGATTCGAACCTGCATCCTATACGGAACTGTCATTTACACTGACGTACCTTAACCGACTCGGCCACAAAGGAGCGTTCGGTAGGCAAGGTCGAATTTACTGCTTATAAACTTCAATCTTCCATGAATCTCGTACATTCATAACTGCTCGTGGCATATCAAATGTAAACAAATGACGTCATACATTAAGAATTGGACAAAGTCCGACAATTTATTAAAGACATTTTTATGTTTAACATTCTTTTTATAGATACAATATATAAATTTTATGAACCAAGGCTACAGGACCCAGTCTGTCCTGCTATTTAACCTATAGCTGGAGGAGAAGAGATGAATTCATACCTTTTCCAAAGGTATTTGTGTGATTGAATATAACAAACCTGACTGGATTTCAAACTCAGGCCTTACTAATGTGAATTTCCTAAAGAAAAATTATTTTTATAGACATATAGCTTTAAAAACAAAATGCTAATGACAAATTACTTTACATGAAGAAGTTACAAATATTAAAAAAAGAAAGATATCAATAAAATTTTACTTCAGCAGTGAAAATTAATAGCCTCAGTAAATCACAACAATAAACCATAATTGATTTTTTCAATGGAGGATTGTCAATTTTTTATTTTTTTATCAATAGAAGGTTGTCATTCCCCCCCCAATGATTGTTGTTTTATTTATTTATTTTTTCTAATAGAGGTTTGTCAATTATTGCTACTAGTCTTTCTTTAATGTTAGTGCTAATGTTAATGAGGTGATACTTTTCAGGATATCTTTAGAAGTATTTGTATTTTATTTATTAATACTGAAAAGTACAGGGGATGAGACAGGTAAAGTAGTGAGAACCACATACACTTAGCAGATGAAATAAAGATGAGAGTAAGAATGTCATCAACATTTGGATCCACTCAACAGGTTCTATATGAAATTTGTAGAAGTTTATTCAAGTAACAGATACCTGAGGAAGGCCAGAGAATAAAGCTAAATAAAAGACTCTCTTTGATATTCATCTAGAAGTGCACTGGATGTAAAACGTGTAGGACTGAAAAGCTGTGGATGAAATAGTGGGTTTTCTTCAGAATTCCTGTTGAATGAGATGGAATATGAAAGAAAATGGGAGTGAGAATATCATTAACATTTGGATCAACTCAACAGGTTCTGTATGAAATTCGTAGAGGTTTATTCAATGTAACAGATACCTGAAGAAGGCCAGAGAATAGTTGAAATATTGTGATGAAAAACACTGGTTTGATAGTATCACTACATAAAAAATGAATGCAATAAAAAAAAACAATAAAAATGTGGAAAGAGAAAGTCTTGAAATGAAACTATATTTACTAACTTATTTGATAGTAATAGTAATCATGAATAAAATATAAATGATTGTTAGTAGAAACGTAAAATTATTCAAACAGTTCTCATAACAATAACTAACACTAACAGTATGTTTAACTGAATTTATTATGTAGTTAAGATAATTATTTAGATCTTTTTAAATTTATTTTTTGAGGTTGGATAATAAATTATTTTCACAGAAATTGTTCACTATATATACGCATAACTCATCATGTTTATCTATATATTTTTTTCTCATTATATAAAAAATCTTTTTGTCCTTGTGCTCAGATCACCTCTGCATTTTTATTCTTTATTTTTATTTATTTTTTTATTTTTTAAACACACGGATGGATATTCTTTCTTTTTAAGAGGTAAAGAGAGATAAGGAGGAAAAAGAAGAATTAACCAATCAGAATTGGCTTTTTGCTTGATGCTTGGCTACTGATACCTAATTGACCAATCACAACGGCTGTTATCATTCAAACCAGAAGTAGTTCGCATCACGTGGTGCACTTGAAAGGAAGAAAGGAATAGCTAAAGAGACCTGCACTCCGTCAACATGGCTGATCCTCGTAAGTTGTGATTTTTGCACTTTTTTTAAAATATTTATTCGTTTCTCCGTGGAAGAAATTCTGAGCAAGAGAAAAAAAAAAATTAATAGGAATAGCTATTTTGTTTTGCTTCTTTTTTTTAAATTCAAATCTTTTTAATATTAGGGACTTTGTTGTGGTTGAAAATCAGTTTTCAAAGTGTTGAGTTTCTTTTCTTCCTCGTGTTAGAAAACGAAAATGGTGGCCGGCCTCTCCAAAAAAAAAATTTTTTTTCTTTAAAAAAAAAAAACCCCCAAAAAACCATAACGTCCAATTTTAATTGGTTAGATACAATTTTGCTACTCATGAAATGTATTTTTCTTGAAACATACCGGTTTTAATCTTTGAGACATTTCTTTTTCCTGTTTTTTTTTTCCTTTACGCCCCCCCCAATAACTGACGGTTTCTTTTGTCTAAAATAGAGAAAGCCAGGCTATCCAATTTCAATGGCGGTTATTCATCCACTAACTCCTCGTCGGCGAGCATTTGCTAGGTCATTCTTTATTTTATTTAAGACTTGAAAATCATTACATATTTCAACGCTTCCACAAAAAAACCTAATTTTAAAAATTATATCCTCTCTACGCATTTAAATTGCGTAGATTTTAAAATATCGAAATGGTGATAAAGATTATGTCATAAGTTAAAGTACGATGGCATGGAGAAGAGAAACTTAAGCCGTTTATAGATTATTTTAAATCTCTGTATTTTCATAATTTGCTCATTCCCATGGAGAAAAAAAAACTGGCGTAAATCTTAAATTGGAATAGTCTCTTATTTAAAAAAAAATAAATCTTAAATTAAAACCTGTAAGTTCTGTTCATTCTGTCATGGAAGTGAATATAAAATTTAAAAAAAATCAATTTAAAAGAAATAAATTAAATATTTCTAATTTAAGCTTCCTTGTGATAATGAAACAAGGTAAATTTCGATTTTAGCTTAATTTACAAAAGAATTAAGCAATTAAATCTTACTAGGTGTTTAAGTGAAATAAATCAAGCAAACCAATTAGTTGTAAAAGTCATTCACTAAAAATCTTATTTAAATATTTCTATTAAATATATTTAAAAAGGACTATCAAATTCAGCAACTGGTTGAACCTCCGTTCAATCTGTCTTTTAGAGAGGAAAGATATAAACAAAAATGGAAATGACCCATGTGGATATCGATATAAGTAGGCCATCACAGGTTAAACGAATCTATCATAAAAATTTGAAATTACGTGGCTTTTTTTTTTTTTTTAAATGCCTCATGAGTCAAAAAGAAACCTTGTGGGGCGGGGTCAGTTACGAGTCTTTAAAATTTAATTATAGCGTGTAAATGCTGTTCTAGTATTAATACATTTTTACTTTAAAAAGTATCTAACTTGAGCACACTTAAAAAAAGCATGTAATGTAATCTGAAAAGCATTGAACGTGTGTTTTTTCGGTTCCTTCAAAATCTAAAAGTAACTGGTAATAAGTTTATTGGTTCGTATTATTACGTGAAAAATCTACGAGATTTCGTTGATTGGTTTTTACTCACACAAAGTAACTACTAAAAGAAAAATAAAAAAAAATAAATAAAATCACAGATCGTCAGATTTAGAATTAAATTTGAAAACTTTTTCCTTGTCTTAATAACTTGGTAAAATCTTTGTTAAACAAAAAAAAGTCTAGGAGGAAAGAAGAAAAAAAAAAACTTTTTCCTCTCATTTTCACACCACGTGGCTTTATAAACTTCAAGAGCAAGTAGTTCTTTTAAGTGTGCTTTTTATGCTATTATTAATCATGATTTTAATTTTTAATGATTTAGGTATGCATTTTGCTAAAAAAAATATTAAGATTAATAATGGATGAATATATTTACATAATTTATATTATCTATGGTTTGATTTTTTTTTTTTTTTTTTTTTAATTTTATTCCTCATAAAAGCAATGAAGTTCGGGTTTTTTTTCTTTTTTGTATGGTAAATAAATATTTCTGTATTAAAGTTCTTCGTTCTTAATTTTGAATATCCGCCATTTTGGCTGGATTGTTACTTTCGTTTTATTTTCTTTGCGCTTTAAAAATACGAAATATTTTTGCTTTTCGCATCGCTGAAATAACAACTTTAAACGTAGAGATCGCTGTTCGTTTTCAATTTTGTTGTCATAATTGACTTAAACACAGGAAGTTCGCCCTTGGATTATATTTGAGTTGACCTTTTAACTCTACGATGAAAGCCTTAAAAACACTTCAGACCGTATTAATTCTGCATTGATTGTTACTTTTAAGAAATCCGTTCTTCCTTAGTTTTATGTTGTAGAAACAAACAGTTGCATTAACTTTTTTTCGTCATGTTTGATTAGAGGAGGAAATTTTTTTTTTTTTTACTTTGGCGCAATTTAAAGTTCTATTTTTATATATACTTTCATCATTTAAAGTCGCATGTTTAAACTCTTAAAAAACGGCGGCTCTTTTTGTTTTTAAATTTTAGGAAAAAGGAATTCATACAGATTTCTAACTTTAATGAAAACAAAATAATAAAAAATAAAATCTTATCGACTTTATGGTTATCTGAAAATGTCATTAAAAAAATCTTGATTTGTTTATCGGGACACATTTTATTTAAAAGCAACACAGACGCCGTCCATTATTAATAGCAAAACATAAAAACCGGTTTTCATTTGTAGTCTTCCATAAGTGGAAGGACTTCTTGTAGAATTTTTAATCTTATTGTAAACTTCCTTTCAAAATATCTATACCATTTTTGTTCAGTTAATTACATATTTTGTTTGAACAATAACATTCGTTTTCTTTCTTTCTGATTTCTGAATCCGAAGTGTTGGGGTGAAAGTGATAGATGATTGCACACGTTAACTGAAACGCGAATTTTGTTACAAAAAAAAAAAGTTATTTACGAGGGAACTCTCAACATGACTAAATCCATACCTGCAGTAGTTACTTAACACTAAACTAGGTACATCCGAATAATTCGTTAAAAATCAGTATAACATAATGATAAAAGGCCCCAAAATTAAAAGCAGTTTTATCCTCATTATTAAGTGGAAAGAACTAAGTATTTTTTTTTTTTTTTTAAATACTACTAAGTTGTAAACTACTTGTTGTAATGGACATTTTCGTAGTGTAACAGTTTAATTTATTAATTGATTTAGCAATTCTTGCAAAAATCAAATAATTGTCTGATTTTAATGAAAAAAAAGAAAAATGAATCTATTTATTTTAGAATTTTTTTTTTTTTTTTTTTTTTTTTTTTTTTTTTTTACACATCCCCATGACTTAATTTTTGAAATTTTCAAGAATTTCATGTTTCATATTATTTAGAAGCAGGACTCATTGGAGAAAGGAAATCATCAATTTTTTTTTTTTTACAAAAACTTGTCAACTTTTTAAAGATCTGCTCCAAATCGTAAAATAAAAACTGCAATAAAATTATCTAATTAGATAGGCTTTTTACGGATATTATCTGAAGAAAAATTTTTTTTCGATGAATAAAGAATTTTTACAAGAATTGTTTGCATATATTTTTTTTTAGTTTTACAAAAGGTTTTCAATTTTTTAAAAAAAGGTAGATTGAGTTTTTATTTGAAGACTATTTCCTAAGCGAAAATTAAATACTTAATAGTACAAATCATGCTATATACTTTTTAGTATAGTGTCTCGTAAGTGATAGATCAGGTGTTTCAAGGCTTCTCTCCCTTAAGGAAAGACCCTTGACATATAAAGGTCTTTGGCTTATCTCACTCTGTTATTAAATTAAACATTAAATTGAGAATTTTATCTCATCAGTTTAAACAGTTAACTGAGTGAGGTAACTGTTAATATAATGTATTATCATCTCAGTTTTTAAATTAAAAATGTACTTTAATGAAATGTTAATTAATAAAATTACTTATCATTCCTTAGCTATTAAATAATGACATCATTAGAGGTAACTCAATAATGTAAGAAGTTTTTATAGTATTTTGAACAACAACAAAAAAAAGTTCTTAGAATTCATAAAATTGTTAATTCTGGTGCACCATACTAAACTTGTCAACACATTCAGCCATCAGATTATTGATGGAGACCTGAAAATAACAAGACACAGGTCAAGAAATGTTCGTCTAGAAAATTTTATGCTATAAGTGATATTTGTTTCAGAACTAATTTTACGATGGTAACCTTTCTGAAATGTTTATTTTATTTTGGCAGGATTTTCAAACACAAAAGTTTACATTTCTCTTAAAAAAAAAAAAAAAAATAGCCGCTTTGATTGTTTTTTTTTTTTTTAGGGAGGATCGACTAAAAAATCATTCAAATTTCTATTTGAAATACTCCACAGTACTTTTTTTTTCTGGAATTAGGAAATTTAATCCTTTGCCTTTCAATTGAAGTTGGGGGAAAGCTTCAAAAAGGATACTTCCTTTATGAAAAATACATTTGAACCGTAGGTATACTAAATTTTTTGAGGTTCCAATGTTTCTGTTAGGTTTAGAGGTGAAATAATGGTAAATGGGGATCAGCTGTTTTCTCTCTCTTTGTGGACTTTCTGCAGCTTAGGTACCTAAAAGAAAGAAAAAAAAAAAAAGAGCATAAATGAAAAATGTCCTAAACGTGTATTTAAAAAAAATAATTATCAAAATCTTTATTAATAGGAAAAAACAAAGGATTTTTTGATTAAATTGTATATTTTTTCATAGTGGCCTTAAGCTAGAGTATATGAATTTTTTTTTTTTTTTTTTTTTTTTTTGCTGGGAAAAGTATGTTGATTTTGAAATTCGTGCAAAATTCAGGTAATTGTCGGATTTTATTTCCAGGACTGTCTGAGAAATAGAATTTTAGAAATTTTTTTTTTTTTTTTAGTACCCCTGCCGCCCTCTCTCCTATTTAATATTTAGAAATTTTGAAAAATTCATTTTTGTAGTGTTTACTTATAAGCAGAAGTCCTTGGAGAATTTAGATTTTTTTTTTTTTTTTTTTTTTTTTTTTTTAAATATGTTACAGGACCTCCAAATTACTGAAAATCTTTTGCTGGATTATGAGATAATAAATGCAATAAAACTAAGACATTAAAAGCTTTTAATTACTTACATCATGGACACAATTGTCTTGAATTTTTTTTCTTTTTTTTTTTTAATTTGTAAGTTTCAAATTTGATTTTTAATGGTTAGGTGATATTTACTAATCATAAATGGAAAATCTTACTACATTTTAAACTAAAAGTAATGTTTCAAGTCAGATTAAACTTATAATAAATTATATAAAATCATGCTCATGTTCAAGTAATTTTCTGATAGGTCCTCTAGAAAAAAAATTAAATTTCTGGCTGTTAATAGAGCAGTAAGCATCCGACAAAAACACTTGCCTCAAATTTTTTTCTTTTTCTTTTTGCAATATTTCAAAACTAAAAGCAATATTTGTTTCAAATTAAACTTTAAATCCACTAATCTTCAAATACGTTTTGGAAAAGTATATATATTTTAAGGTTTTTTTAATTAGAATGTGGGAATTGTAGATATGACTAAAATTGGACATTTTTATCAATTTCATAAAACTAGCTTGTTCCAATTTAAATTAGTTTTGAAATGCAGCAAAGTATTTTATTTGTTGAAAATATTAAATTTAATTTATTAACTATAAAAGCTTCAAGATTTTAAATTCATTTTGTATGTGCTTTGTGAAGGCTGAAGGATTACTCTGTCCAATTTAAAAATTTGTTATAGCTGGAATACATTATTTTTTTTTTTTTTTTTTTCTCTTATGGGTTGCTTGGGACCTTCAATCTAGAACTCTCAAAGAAATTAGAGATTGTTTAATTTTTAATTAGACTGCCTTTTAATGGATTGTGAAATCACCTTGATCATGTAACAAATGCTAAATCTTTGAAAAGCAGCAGTATGTGACCACTTTGCTTTCTAAAAATATCCTACTCTCCATCAATAAAGGGGGTTTTGTTTGAGCAAAACATGTTTGCTTGAATGTTCAGTTGCCAAGCAACAATGTCTTTATTTTTTATTGTTAGAGTAGCTGTTTAAGAAAGTTTTTTTTTTTTTTTTTACAATGTTGTGGATACTGCAAAAGATTTCATAGTAATTTATGTATTTAGCCAATTCTAGACTTGATTAAAGAAAAAAAATTATTGCTTGAAATATGCATATACAATTTTGCAAAATGAGTTGCTTTGTGTTTTTGAATATAAACTAAAAAAATTAAAAATGATTTTTGGATTAATGATTTGGATTGCAAGTGTTTAACATGTGCTTAAACCATTATTTGAAATGCTTTTTACTTGCAAAATCATAAATGGTTTAGATAATTCAAAAATATTAAGTAAAGCTCAAATAAAAAAAAAAAGTAATTTACATAAAGTTATTTCTATTTATAACCTTGCAGAGTAGAATTCACATTTTAATGTGGAAATATGGCGATAAAATATTCTGGTTTGAAAAAAACTCCAAATCAATGATATATATATATATATAATTCTTTGTGTATTTAATAACTAGTCACCTATCCCACCTCCCTTTTTTATGGCAACAATACTTGTCAGTGAAATTTGTTTATTATATAATTTTTTTTTTTTTTTTTTCTCCAGAATACAATTATCCTGGTGCTGGAGGTGGGCAAGCTGGGTAAGATTTTCTTCTTTTTTTTCTTTTTTTTTTTTTTCTTGAATATGTTTACATTGATTTAAAGTATAGGATTACCATAACTTGAAATCATCTTTGTTTTTAATTTCTAGAAGTGGAATTTACTCATTAGTAAAATGACGAAAGTAGGTTTCACTTAAATTTATAATCTGTTTGATTAATTCTTATGAGTTAAAAATAAAATGTAAACTTTGAAATAGAGGGATGGAAAGCGTTATGCTTTTTTAAGTTGTGCAAATTGATATCTAAGTAAAACTATGGTGCTTATGTTTTCTGTTGTGTCAATCTTTTAGTTCCAGTCATTGGACCAGTTTTATGCTAAAGATATGTGAGGATGAGATTTTAAGTAAACATCAAAATCAAAAGCCTAGGACTTATGAGCTTTGAAATTTTGCCATGTCTTTTTTTTTTTTTTTTTCCCTTTCAAATAGATCTTTCAACTTAGTGTTCACAAATGGAGTAATTAAGTGCATCTTCCTTTTGAACATAATTGAAACAAATTTTTAATTTTCATTTTTAATGAAAACCAAAGCCTAATGATTCTCCAGATTAACATTTTTTGGGCCCACCTGTCCAAATTTTATCTTATGAAACAATGTATCTTAAAAGTTATTACAGTATTTTAAATGCAATTTTTATTTCTTTAAATATGAATATATAAAAAATTCAAGTGTATATTTAATTTTTTTTTTTTCTCTCACCATTTCAGTTACAGCTACAATGCCTATGGTAGTACCACTGCAGCTGATGGTGGTTCCTATCAACCAACAGCATACAGTCAGCAGGTCAGTCTTTTTTTTTTTTTTTTTTTTTTTTAACATGATATAACTACTATCTTGTTTTGGTATGTACTTCCACTATTTTCACAGAAAACAGCATAGTGTAATGAAAAAGGCCACAAACTTAATAAAAATAGTTTTATTGTCAAAATATTCAAAAGTTTAAAATTTTTTAATCGTTTGTAACATGCCTGAAACTTTGATTACAATCTTGTTTTGTTTTGTGTCATCAGGGTGGTATAATAATTACATTGACATTTTTGTGCTTTTTTTCTTTTGAAAACATCAATTTGAAAATTCTTGTAAAAAAAAAAATCAAATAATTGTTCAATTTTAATGACATTTTCAGCTCTTATTCACAAATGAATGAAATTTTTCTACCCCCCCCCAATTTTATGAAATTCCTGGATGTGATATTGTAATTACGTGGAAACTGAATTTACGAATCCAAAACTGAAAAGATTAAACATAGTTTAACTATTTTATTTTAAAAAAATTTTTTTCTTTTACTTAATTACATAGAAATTACTTTAAGAAAATTTTATAGTATTTTAAATTTGTTATATTTTTTGCATAAAACATCTTTGGAGGTTGGGGGGAATTTATAAAAAAAAAAAAAAAATGTTTACAGATTTTGTAAATTTATGTCAATTCTGGTCATCCATAAGATCTGTCATCACCTTGGAAACTTACCTATATTACAATAAAGATCAAAGAAAGATAGGACTCATCATAAGAAATGATTGTATATTACTTTTTTATGCTAAAAGTAATATTTATTTCAAATTGGATTCATTTAATTTTAAATTTTTTAATTTTACTTAAATAACACGCCACTTCTTTTTTTTTTTTTTTTGTGAATGAGTTTTAAAATTAAGAAAAGGGCTACTTTTAAGAATTTTAAATCTAGCAAATATTTGATACTCCAATCTATATAACTTCTATTGGAAATGCACCAGGATATTTTACTTACTGGAAATAATAAATTTAATCCTTTGGCTTTCAGTTGAAGCTAAAATTAAATCTTCAACAATACTTTTCTATTTTTAAAAATTCTTTTTAATCTTTAGGTATCGGAAATTTATGTCGAAAAAGGACTTACCTAGTACTTAGAATTGAAAAATTTGGTTGCTATTTAAGGCAAAGTTAAATTGCAAAAACACTAACCTGCACATGTTGACCTGAACAAGTCTTGGCTGATTGTGAAAAATACCAAGTTGGTGACAGGAAATTTAACCATTCTATAGTTTGCTCTTAATTTTTAAAAGTGTACATTGTTTGAATAAATCTGACTTCTCTACATACTTATATTTGAAGATCTAATTTTTCTAATTCCTGTTTCATTTGCTTGGCTGGGTTCTTAAGTGTTACATTTCAACCAATCCTTTTTTTTTTTTTTTTTTTTCTTTTTTTCTTTGCTGCAGGGTTATGGTCAGACATACAGCTATGATCAAGCATCTTACAGTCAAACCCCAGCTGCACCTCAGGCAGCTGCACCATCTTCATATGCTCAGCAACCTGGCTATGGTCAGGCAGCTTATGGACAAACTGTTTACAGTCAGTCAGGTAAAGGCTTTTCAAAATGAAGTCTCTTTAAAAGGTTCCCACCAGTTCTTATAAATAACCTCATAATTGTTGGCTGAAGACATTTTGTGCCTTTGTCAACAATTGATTTTAAATTATGCATGTTGGATCCATTAGCAGCATTTTTTTTCTTGTTATCATTCTCATTGCATACCGTCCTGTTTCTTAAGTTTAGGAGATGTACATAATTCCTTTTGCCTACGTATATGAACTTGAAATAAACGTTATTGTAATTGCATTTTGATTCTTTAAGTGACCATGCTTGTTGAATAAAAAAAATCTTTATTTTTGACTTCTGATGAAATACTTTCACTAAGCTTGCAACTTTGACTCATCAGCAAAGGCATCTGGCAGCAAGATAAAATGTTTCCTCTAAATATGTTTAAAAATTACTTTAATATTGTAAACTAACTTATGGAAATTTAGAGTGCAGAATGTCTTGCAGTAAGGTTGCATGTGGCTAAATCATTTTATGTTAAAGTAGAACATGTTATGGCTTTGCATTGTAATTTCTTATTCCTTTGAGATTTAACCTTCATGAACCTAACTTGAATTAAATGCCACGAAAATGATTTAAAAAAAAAAACACACCATATTAGATACTATATTAAAAATATAGCTGTACTAAAATCCAGTTAATGGTCTCCAAAATGTAGGTGATACTGGATGAATAGTTGACTTGAATGAAGTGCTTCTCTTCATTTTTTTTCTTTCTTCTTTTTCATTATAATAATCTCAATGAGGATGAAACACTAAATGATATGCTGCATGGACTCTTGCATTTGAGGAACTAAATCTCTTTTGCTGTCCTGTGTATACTTAACTGCTATTTCAATGCTACCATGATCCTTGAGGGTTTTGCTCTTTTTGGTTTTGTGATTTTGATCACTAATACTTATTGAATTCTATTTAATAGAATCTCTAATTTTCTGTTTTTCTTCTGTATTTGACTAATGCACGTATGGATCCACATGTGATTTGCTCTAAATGTCCATTTATATTGCTTTCCATTCAAATCTTATTTAAAGAAAACCAATAAATTAGCCATTTTGTGGTTTTGATATTATCTAGTAACTCAGTGCTTGTTAATAACTTTGAACATTTGGCCATTTACTTGTATTTATTCACTTAATGATCTACTTGTAATAACCAGATTTTGAGGCAACTATGAAATGCACAGTAGTACTAGCCGCCTTCAGGTTTTTAGATAACTTTTTTTGGTCATATCACTTGACTGTACTATTATTGTATACACATTAAAAAAAAGTGCATCCTTACTATATGGTGGCAGTGAAAAAATTGGCCTAACTTCCCCAAAATCTGACCAAATGAACTGCCATCAGAAATTGTTTATAACTCTTTAGGTTGAGCCGAGAACTTTTCAGCACCACTCATATAAAATGCTGAATTTCTATGCTTATTTGAATTGCATTAAGTCTGTGCAGATGATTTGTTGTGTTTTTTTTTTTTTTTTTTAATGTTGCTAGTTGAGTGTTCTTCCTAATAGTAAGCAATATTAATACTGTTAAGAGTCCAAGCCTATTGTGGATTCATTTTTTTTTTTTTTTTTTTTTTTTGTTAATTGTACTAAGCTGGATATTTTTCTGTTTGTAACTATGTCCTTTTAAAGTAATGATTGGTGTCTTTGTACTAACTGTTAATTTAAGAAGAAAAAAAAATTGGTTTCAAACTTGTCGTGCCAACACAGCACCCAGTGCTGTTGCGAAATGACTACCAATCCGGCATTGATGGTTTGCTACTAATCTCTTTCAGGCCAAACAGCTCAACAGTCTTATGGTCAATATGGCCAAACGTATGGTCAGAGCTCGGATGCTTCAGCCTATGGCCAACAATCTTCCTATTCCCAGCAAGGTAAATGGTGCTGCTGTTTTCTTGGATGCTTCCACGAACCAAAACAACATTTTTCTTTTTTTCTTTATTTTTTTCTCTTTACTTGGTGCACTTAAAAGTACTTGTGCTTTGTACTGTGGTTCATAACGTGTGACCCTTACCTTCCTCATGCTAAAAATTAACCAGGCTTATGTTAGGAAAAAGGTTAAAACAAAAAAAACAACCTAACTTAGTGAGCAGGTTGCTTCCCAATTAAAACTATTATCAGTATCCATATCAGATTTTCTTTTTTCATGGATAACAGTTGAAAGTTGTCTGTGTTGGGAAGTAAAGGTCATATTAGCTGTGGCTTTTGTCAGCTAGGAAGTACATAGGTAGACAAGATTACACTACTAAAAAATTATAGAGATTAAGAGTTTTTTCAAATTAAAAAAAAAAATAAATTAACCTCAGTATTTGAATTATTTTTAATTCTCCCGACTAAAGTTTTGTGGTTCATGTCCACTTTTCAAGGGATTTTAATATAAAATTTTTTTATGTAGTAATGTAAAATGTCTAAGAAAGTTGCAGGATTAATATTAGGGAAGGTTCATCTGGTTACTTGTAAAATAATTTTTATTTATTTTTTTTTTAAAGACTTTCTGTTGTGTATGTGTAGTAACTTGTTATGCTTAATCATATCAGCCTAAAAAAATATTTTTGTTAAAAATTAGTAGTTAGTAACTATTTTTAAAGCTTTTTTACTTGCTTTTTGCTAAGCAAAATAGAGGATATAAGAGAAAATCAAATTTTATTTTTAATAACTAATATTCTGTAGGTCATTCATCACACTTTTTTTAATATTTTTTTTATTTTAATATTGAATGTCTTCACCAAACTCATTTTCTCCTGTTGACACACGCAATCAAACCGCATACAGGTACATGGTGCTGTACATAGCTAAATGTCCCTATTATGAATTTTTGCTTTTCATCCTAGTTCAAGAAGAATCTTACGGACATACATGCTGCTGACTTCAAAATGTTTTTTTTTTGTTTTCTAATCTAATATTTGAAAAAGAAAATGCTTGTATTTTTGTAGCATTAAACTTTGTTTACAGTGAAACTAAATATTCACAGGTTATAAGGTAAATTTGAAATGCTTGGCATATTGTAAAAAAAAAAAATAGTAAAATATCTATAAACTTCAAAAGATTAGACTATTGATAACTGATTTTCTTATCCCAAAACTAGTGTTAACATTTAGGCATTAAATATGCTTATCCAGTCTTCCTAAAAAAATTTTTTTTGTTAGAAAACTAATGTAAAATTGCAAACTATGCAATGTCTGAAGTTTTCATTGACAGCTGTATAATGAAATAATAAAAAAAAAAAAAAATTTAACCACAAGCATTATTTTCTATTTGCTGACAATGCTATTAGACCGTTCATAAAGAAACTTACTAGATGACTAGAATTGGTCTGACACTATTTTGCCTAAAAAGAAAGCTCTTTTGGTTTTTTTCTTGCAGCTTGTCTGACACTATTTGGCTAAGGCATATAGAAAAAAAGATAAATGCAGTAAATAGAAAACTCCTTGGCAGTAATATAGAAAACTTGCTTCTTGAATCAAATGTTTTTTTTCCTTTCAGTTTCATGAGCCTTTTTAGACATTAGCAAGTTTCACTCTTGAGAGACGGCAAATGCTGGAAAATGTAGAAATAAAAAAAAGTTCCAATCTGAATAGGAAATAAGGCATATAGAAAACTCCTTGGCAGTAATATAGAAAACTCCTTGGCAGTAATATAGAAAACTCCTTGGCAGTAATATAGAAAACTCCTTGGCAGTAATATAGAAAACTCCTTGGCAGTAATATAGAACAAAAGATAACTGGCTAAAATGATTTGGATTTATGTAGATTAAGATTTGATTTTTTTTTTTTTTTTTTTGTCTTGTTTGCTTAAAATTTCCTTGAAGTTGATAATAGAATTTTGAAAATTAATGACTAATGATTGTTGTGTAGTGATATATTTTCTATAGATGTTAATAATCATCAGTCTTTGAAACGATTTGTGACTTGATCAATAACTGGTTGAATTATTCTATCATAAGCATATTTTTAATTGATTTATATTTTTTCGATGAAAAGATTTTGATAGACATTTAGCATTAACACAAGATTTGGTGTAAACACTTTAGATAACTTTTCCTTTCACTTTTTTAGGCTTGTTTTTAAAATGAATAGGAATTTGTGGAAAACTGTTCAATGAATTTCAATGTTAACTATTTTACATAGACTTCTATAAACCATCTTATTGCTTTAACAAAACATTTTTATTGACATTTGAGACCTAGTAAAAGGGTTAAAAATTCTAAGTAATTGAATTTAAATGTACCATACTCTGCACCTGATAAATTTTTTTGTTTTGTTTTGTTTAGCTGTTGGGAAATATTAAAAGCTTCTGAAGATTTTTTACAGTTGATTTTGAGAATGGAACAATATAGTGTTTTTATTATGACTGCATGGAGATAATTTTTTTTTTTATTTATTTTCTGAAGGTATTTGTGGTCAACTGAAAATCCCCTCCCTTCCTACAGAGTTCAAATTAGTTATGAGCCTCTGTACTTAAAGTGCACAATTTTTCTATTCAGATCCATGATTCATTTTGTTTGAACAATTGTTTTTCTTTGTTTGAATTTGCATGTTTATAAATGGATCTTCAGTATTTTATCCTGTTTCTTCCATTGAGGATTTGCACATAAATTCCCCTACTTTGTTTGGATTTATAAGAAAATTTTGCATTTAATTTTAAGTGTAATTTACATTCATCATGCCTAAGTAATGTAATTCTTTTATCCAAAGAACGTTAAGATTAACTATAATAAATTACTATGGTTTTACAAGAATAGCTACATTTTTCTAGTAATATAATTTGCTGTCTTAAATTGTTATATGAATAATTTTTACTTTTATAGCTATGCTTTCCTTATTTTTTAAAGTTGTTTTAAGTACTTATCCAATGCAGAGTAGGGAAATTATGATGCATAAAAACCTGTTGAATGACCTTGACCTGCTAAGAAATATAGTTTGATGTTGTACCTCAATGTCGTTCTCTGGTGAAACAGGAGTGGTTAAGGACTCTAAACAATCTCTTCAAATGCCAAGTGGATATTCACTTCATTTAAAGTGGTTGTCAGATTTCTTGCTTCTTAATGCCTCTTCAGTTTGTGAAACAGTTTTACTGCTATATGTTAACATTATTTTTTTTTTTTTTTTTTTTTTTCTTTTTACTTTGTTGTCTCTTGCACAGAGCCTGGACAATTTTTGACATTCCTTTTTAAAGTGTTTTAAATACAAGAATACTAATCCTATTCATTTGTTACAAAAACCATTTTGATGTAATGTGGTTTGTAAAAAAAAAAAAATTGCTGTAAGGATATGAAACTCTCAAAGAATTGCAGTCATTTAAGACTTGTCATTATTTCCAGACTGTGTAATAAATGCATGAAAATTTGCTTGCTTTGTATTTTTCTGTGTTTGTTTACTGTGTCCACTATAGGGGTTTTAGGAAGCAGCTTTTGTTCTTAATGGACTCATTGGTTGTTTTGAACTGCATTATTAGACTATAATCTTTTGTTTAAAAATTAAAATGCTATTTCACTAAAAATTATTTTGTTAATTTCTTAATTGCTAATTGAAACTTTCCAAACAGATTTGTTTGCTGTGGCTTAACATAGGCTTTTAAAGATTTGTAATTAATAAAATAAGTACTGCAGTTTTATTGCAATTTATGCTATAGTGATAGAAATTTTTAGAATTTCAACTTTTAAAATTTAAATTTTACTTAAGCATGAATAACGTCAGATTTTTTTTTTTTTTTTTTTTAAGATATTGAGTCTGTATCAAATTTTAACTTTTGTGCTTCACATTTTTTCAAAGTGATTAAAACTTGAATTAGCTAGGCAACCCAAAAAGGCCTAATTGGATACGAATGGTATAACTTTAACTGCCCTACATTTAAAGTGTCAGTGGATTGGTTTGCTGACCTCTCCAGTTGACCAATTTAAATTGATCCATTCAATAAAACACCTTTAAGCAATAGATTTTTTTTTAGTTAAAAATGAAAACACATGGCTAGAATCAAGAAAGGTAGAACATTAAAAAAAGTAACTATTTCTGGATTAAACTTAATAAAATGAATCCAAAGAAGGACAATGTTACTTTATAATTTACATTGTTTTAATCCTCAATAAAAAGCAAAGCTAAAAAGAATTTGCCTCAACTTCTTCCCCTCCATCACCAACATAGAAGACTGGCAAAAAGATGAACAGAAAAATATTAATAACTAGTTTAAAAGCTGCCTTATCAAATGGCATTTAAGCTTGTTCCTGCGAAGGGCTTTTGATTGAGCTTTCATCATAATAGGTAGGGTCATCATAATAGGTAGGGAGGAGTAGATACGATAGGCAACAATAAACTTACAGAAGAACTCAAAATTGATCACTGCATTTAAGTATTGCATTAATATTTAAGCTTACCTTTTAAAAGTTCAATAATGATTCTTCTGCCACCTCATAATTTAAAAACGAATTGATGTACATAAGTCCTTATTTTCTGTAAAAACAATTATTTTTATTTCATGGATAATTTTCGCTGGATTTCGCAATTAATTTTGATTATTCCCAAATATATTTCCAACTTATAAAAATTGTTATTGTACAAAAAAAAATGTCTGAAAATAATCACAGAAATGAAAACTTGGGAATACTAAATTTCTGGATTTGGCCTGGAATGACTTTAATTTGCTCATGGAGTTGGCCTGACTCCAAAATGGTATATATTGGACTACAGCCTCTAGGAGTAAAGTTGAGAAAGTGGCACTAGCATTCTCATTTTATTATATAGATTTCTTTTACCACAGTTGGACAAGTAGAATGAAATAAAAAGTCCTTCTGTGAGGTGAAGGAAGGGACTGAGATGACGAAAATGCAGAATTCATTCTTTCCACTTGACCTATTATGATCCATCCTCAGAATAAGCATACCCTTTTTCTCTAACCAAAGCAAAATTTTCTAAAGGTTTTAGATTTGAATTGGTGAAAGGAAAAATCAACATATTTAACCCTGACTGAAAACCATTTTAAAAATGTTTAGCCATGAGAAAAGGTCCTCCCACAACCATCACTTTTACAACAAATGTACACACCATGTTATCCTGATCAACACTGAATGAAGAAAATACAGATAGCACAATTGCTGTAGGAACAATTACTGTGTACATAGATGAGAATATGGTCCCAAAAAATCTACCTGCAGATTCTTTGTTTACCCCACACTTGTTAGCAGTGGTGGAGGGGGAAGTCAACATCTCCCTTCCTCCACACATTAAGAGGAAGATGACCTAGGTACTATCTTAGCTAGTTAGATTCATCATTAGTCTGAGTGGCAAGTCCCAGAGACTCCCAAAATATGGGTTTTCATGATGATACGAAATCAAATTGCATCATATGTTAAAATACTTTAGTCATGAAGTAGGAATAGCAAGTTTTAAATAAACTGTTAGCTGATAATGGGTTTGCAAATCTTGAACAGGGAATTTACTAAAGCTTGTCTAAATCATTATTAGAATATATATATATATATATATATATATATATATATATGATCTAGTTTCTCAATCTGAAATTCAACTTGCATTCTTTTTTTCTTTCTTTCAAAGGTTCTCTTTATTTTTCACACGATAACATTCAGTCAATGCAGAGCTTCATCTTTGCAAATCTGGTTGTTGGTTGAAATGTGCATCCTGGCATCACGACCATTTTTTTTTTTTTTTTTTTTTTTTTTTTTTTAAATTTTGTATTGACTTTTTACCTTTTTTCTTCTCAGGTTATGGGCAAGCTGCAGCTCCTCCAGCTGCTAGCAGTGGAGGAGGCGGCTACAGTCAACAAAGCTATGGCCAGCAAAGTGGTGGCTACAGTGCCCCACCTCCTCAGCAACAACAGCAGCAGCAACCACCTCAACAGCCCAGTGGATATGGACAGCAGAATTCTTATGGGCAGCAGCCACAGCAGCAGCAAGGCAGCTATGGTCAACAACATAGTCATAGTGGTGGCAGTTATGGGGATTATAATCAACAGGGTGGCTATGGTAGTGCTCCTCAACAGCCACCACCTCAACAGTCATCTGGTGGTTATGGTGGACCTCCCCCAAAGAGTTATGGAGGTAAGACTTAAATGCAGGAAAAATGGAATACAGAAAATCAGGGGACCTTGAGAGATTTGTTTTTTGCCTTTATGTTCTCACCCAAAGTCAGATCAAGATACAATGAAATTTATGCAGTAATTTCTTGCAGTTTTTGACCCCACCACCACTTCTTTATAGTGGCACCAGTCACTGGAAGTAAACTCTGGTAGTAAGCTCAAACCTACTGTTTTTTTTTTTTTTTTTTTTTTTGCAGCTTACAGCTTTTTATTTTCTTCATCCTAAAGAGAATATTGCATCTGTTTAGGTCTATAAGATATATAAAATATCATGACTTGGCCCTGCCAGGTTTGAGCTTGTGGTAAAAGTTAAATATAAAATTATGGTTTCCTGCAGTACTTAGTCCCCTTGAGTTTGTAGTGTCCCCAAAGGATATTGTTGGCCATATAGAGAATCATTGATTTAAGCCAATATATTGCCAGTGATATAAAGTAAATTTTGCATATACAATCATTTCTTTTGAATAAATGAACACATGCCATGCATCATCCCAATAGAGTAATTTAAAAAAATAAATAAATAAAAATTACATTTTCACCGGTAGAATTAGTGGGCCATCACTTGTCCCACGAGTTATGATATGCAGGTTTTATCTCTGTCTCTATTGGCTCTGGTGATAATGTGATGCCTGGAGGGAGATGAAAAACCTACACAGTATGTGAAGAATGGGCCAGTTGAAAGGTTGAAAATGATTGGGAGGCTGCTCATCAAATTTGGCTATTCTGTTTGTTGAAAGCCTTGTTAAATATGGATCTGTCTCGATGAATTTCTGAGTTTTGTAGCATAAATACAAACGGTTTGCATTATTCAGTTTTAGACTAGACACAACTATTTTTGTATCCTCTCACTTTGTAAAGGTTTTCTAAATATTAACATTTCTATGTATCGGACTTACAGATAGTCGCGGTAGTAGTCGCGGTGGTGATCGTGGTAGCTCTGGTGACCGTGGCAGTGGTGACCGTGGTGACCGCGGTAGCAGCAGTGACCGCGGTAGTGGTGGAGGCTCGGGCTATGGGTGAGTAATTTTTTTTGTTTTTTCTTCTTCTACTGCTCTCTTCTTTCATCTTTGCTATCTCTCCCTCCCCAGATCCTCTACAAAGTCTTCCCTTTAAGTTTATTTTTGTTTGTTAAGTCTGTGTGTAATTAAGGGTTTCTTTTAGATTTAGTGCAGATATAACCAAGCCTTAATGTACGCATCTTTCTTTCACTAGTAATTTTGGGAAAAAAATGTGAGTCAAGTTGTAGGTACTTTTTTTTTTTTTTCTCCTCTTTCCACGAAAATTTTCCTCTCTTCAGCTTCATCCCTACTAGCAAAATTCCAATGTTTTTCATATTGGTGTTTTAAGTTGTTGAATTGCTAGACTCAACTCATGGGTTGTAATTTGTTAGGTGGTTTTAAAAAAAAAAAAAAAAAGTCTGAAAATGCTAAAGATTTAGACATCAATCGCCATTCAAATAACTGGCTATGTTTTGAATATGTGAGCATTTTCATATTATAAAATCTTCACTTGATTCATCTGATTGGCTTCATTATTGTTCGATATGTGATTTCGGTTTAGGTATTCGTAAGCTGTCCAAATCCTACATTTTTTTTAAAAATTTTTTTACCTGGAATAATTTTAGCTCTTGAAAACTTTAGATAATGTATTTTTGTCAAGTTCAGTTCCCTGTATGGACAAGGAAAAAAAAATTGCTTAAGGTGGTGTTGGGATTAGAACCCAACTCTAACTGTAGGTGAAAGAATGTTTTGCATTAGTACATTGCTCTAAAATTGAGCTGATTTGATGTTTTAATATTTTTGGTCTATCTTGTTCTACTAGATATGTTATCAAAAGGACTGACATGGGGTAAATGATATCTTGGAAAGATTTTTTTTTCCCAGTTTTCATTTGAAATGGTTAATTTTTATTTTTTTATTTTTTTCCAAAAAACTCCTGAATATAGAAATGTTGAAATTTCTCAAATCTATAAAAGCTTTGTCAATTATAAAGAAATTTCCGTGATGGTTGTCGTTTAAAAACTTTTGTTGGGAGAGTGGGGAATTGACATTTTAGTAGATTCCAGAAGTTAATCAACCTACTATCTTCCACTTGATTTTAAAGAAAATTGTTTATTCCCTCAAATTAATATTTAACTTCAACACAGAATAGTGCTTAATAAAGTGTTGAGGTTTTGTATACAAAGTAAATATTTGTCAAAGTGAAATTTTTAGAAGCAGGATTGTTTTATTTGTGAATTTTGTATAAATGTTCCAGTATAAGTTTTATGGATCTACATTACTTAGTAACTTTGTATTATCTCTGATTGAAGTCAATCATAAAAACGTGTGTGTGTGGAACTGGATTAAGATGTTGGCACTTAATATTTATTTGCATTTGGAACCAGTTGATTTGAAAAAGAAAAAAAAAAATACAAATGCCATGGTAATATTGCTTTCAGAAATAGCAGTTGCAAAATCATGCTTAAGTGGTTTCATGGAGAGAGATGCACACTCATGCTAACATGAATCTTTTGCCTGGGTAAATTGTGAAGGGTTTTTATTTTTCAATATAATGAAAATGTTAACTCTCTGAAAGCTGCTATAGTTTCTAACATTTTTTTTACAATCACGCTCAAATTTTATGAACACTGCCACAATGTGACCAGATGTAGAGAAAAAGGTATTAAACATTTATCTTAAGCAAAAACAAAAAAAGTAATTTTTCTGTTCTACAGTGATCAGATGTGGGGAAATTTTACGTTGGAAATTTGCAAAAGTGAGAACTGAGAAAAAATAAAAGTGAAATTGCTGCTTCCTGAACTATTTGTTACAGGCATAACAAGTGCCAATCTCAGTTAAATCATTTCAGGCTTACAAAAGCTTTTGTTGTATGTGAAAAGGAATTGAACTATGACAGTTAATTTGGAAGCTGCTTTTGTATCTTATCTGTCAAGCTAATTGGGTTTACACCTTGCAAGATTTTAGCTTGTCAATGAGTGATTTGTCTGCTTGATGTGGTCCATGAGAAGTTTGTTCATATGAAGCCACTTTCTTTTAAAATCAAAACTTTCCCTTAGAAATGCCTATTTTCTGAATAAATAGAAAAGGGGGCAGATAATTCTTGTTTGGTACAAGAATTTTTTCATAAACCTTTTTCTTTTTTCTTTTTTCTTTTTTCTTTTTCTTTTTTTTTTATTAAATGAAAAAATTTTGACTGGAAAACGCAAGATAAGCTGGAGTTTTAATAGCTCCAAATTGTGACTATACCCATTACAATATGATTGATACTAGAAAGATGAGGAGCCTAAACAGTCTCAAATTTACAGCTTGATCAACTGTGTGTGGTAATGTTTTTGAATTAATCTAAGAGCTCATTAAAAATATCTGTCTGAATAAAGGTGGTGTGAATCCAATTTCTCTGGCAAAACTTCAATCTTGTGTTTGATGCTCAACATCCATATTTGCCTGATCTTTTTTTTTTTGATGAACGTTAAATATAAAAAAAAATGGCTCACACATGGAATCTTCTTTTGATTTGATGGTGTCCTCTTAATCTGCTGCAGGGCTTTCATGCTAATATTTCGTACAGTCTTGCAGTTTCAAGTCCAGTTGTAGATTATCCAGCTTTTTTTTTTTGTTGTTTGGTAGAACATTTAGTAAACGGATTTGTTGTTATATATATATATATATATATATATATATATATATATATAAAAAAATCTGAAAATTTTGCTTTGGTTAATGTTTCTGCATGAAATTAGGAACTGATTTTCTATCCTTTGCCACTTTCTGATGAATGGGTGGAATTGTGGATCTTCTGATGTACTTTGCATTGAAAGTACACAGGTATTTGTGTACTTATCAGTAACTAAACCGCTGCTTGATCTATAAAATTAAACTGCTTTAGGGACTTCTGTCAAAACCTTGGTTTAAATGACAACCTACGAAATGTGCAACATTTGAAAAGTTAAGTTAAAATGTAAGGCCACTTATCTCTTGTTGTCAGGGAATATTAAGGTTCTTTTGAATGTGAATTTTTCCCCAAACCCATTGTATTTTAAGACTTCTTTTTTTTTCAAAATTTATTTTTGTGATTTAATAAGGTCAGAAACAGTAACAGTTGTTAAGGGAAGTAATCCCTCTCATCAGTTACTAACCATGTTTTTAAAGGATATACACATTTCATAAAAATTAAAGACATTGTCAAAAAGCATTAATTTATTTTCATGTTAAATTCATTGTTGTAATTATTTTTTTTTTTTTTTTTAAACTTTTTAAAAATTTCTTTGAAATTCTAAAATCTGTTCTTAGAGAATCTGTTTATATTTTGTTTCCTTTGTCCTTGCATCTCTTGAGTCCCACAACTTGGCTTCACAGCAATAATTTTGCATCTCTTGCTTCATATATATTAGTCTTCTACTGTTTATATAGACTTCAAACATTTCTCTTCACTATCTCTCTCCCATGAATTGCTATTTTTGTTCCCCCCCGCCCCACCTCCCCATCCCTATTCATTTCATTTCATCCCCCCTCCCCCATATTTTTTTTTCTTTGTAATTCTCTTATTGACCAGGCTGGTATCTAAATTTGTATATCACTTGATAAGTTTTTTTTTTTTTTTTTTATTATTATTATTATAAATCTTTAAGTTTATTTAAGATTTAAAAAAAAAAAAATGAACATTTATATAATTTTAGTATCATTTTTTTTTTCTTTTCTTTTTTCCTTTCCTAGTTAAATTTTTTGGATTATTGAAGCCACTATTTATTTTTCCCTTCACATAGTAGTTGCCAGTTTCACATTAACACAAAACATTAGGCTGCAGGGTTTTTACATTGCTAATTGGCTATTTTAAAGGTTCTGAGTTCTTTTAATTCAATGTCAAGAAATTAATTTTGAAATGACAACAAAAATGAAATAGAGAACTAATGAAATCTGATCCCGGAGCTTATTTCCTGCATATGTAAAACATAAATTACAATAACTACGTTTATGTGGCAGCTTCTTCAGCTCATTTCAATGGATTTTATTATACATGTTTTTCAAGTGTAATAAAAACTTGAGCTTAACATCCTTATTTCATTGCACTGTGGGTGGTTGGGAGGTGGTGAGAAGTGTCATTCAATGCTTGTCTTTAAAAAGTCAAATCCATTTTAATTAGCAAAGTAGTTTGAAGAATGTTTCAAAGATAACTTATCTTTTGATGTCTTTCTTGGCTGCCAGCTTGGGTATGAAGAACGCATTCTTTCCTCTAATTTTGCAACGACCTTTTTTTTTTTTTTTCTCACAAAGAGACCAGAAAGAATGGCACCTGATGTGCAGTTTTTTCTTTTTGCAATAGCCATTATGTTCTATGTCTATGGAACTTCTTTCTGATCTCTTGCCTTTTATTCAACTTTTCACCTAAATCTCATTTGTGGCCACTTATGTTTCAGTCCAATGTCTTAAATTTATCCCCCTCCTCCCCAGACATGTTGATTCTAACCTCCAGTATACCCCCCATGCATTTTTGCCACCATTCTTAACTGTTTTAATGAAAGTATCTACCCCACTCTCTTTTTCTTTCTTTTTTTTTTCTTTTTTTCTCTCTCTCTTTTAAGATTAGCATTTTTAGTACCCTGTTTTTTTGTTTTTTTTTTTTAACACAACTTTTTCAGTTTGCAAAATTTTCCATATTATCAAGATATATAAACATTTTATGTAACCTGCTTGAATCCAGCTCAATTCTTCAAGGGTTCAATGAATATTTTGACAGATTTTACTATCAAGAGAACAATTAAGTGTTGCTTTTATGAAATATCCAATTTTCACAAGGATGATCATTTCACTATTTGATATGCAACCATTATTTTTTTTCTTCTCTTGGAGTATGTAGTTGGATTAATAAGTGTAGGTGTTACAAAACCATGTCATTTGAAGATTGTGGAAAGTTTGCATACCTCTTAAGATTAGGTTCCTTATCATCCTTTTTAAAAAATTTTAAGGCAAGTTATCAAGTTAGTTGACAATTAATCCTCAGAGAGAGGGAGAAAGGAAATGGGGAGTCATCATTAACAGTTTTTGAATTGATTGAATTTATACTTTGATGGGAATCTTTCTTAAGCTTGTCTGTATAATACTTTAGGATATACAATTGACAATCTTTAATGTTTTTGAGTAAACTTATGCCCATTGCTACATAGAACATTGTTTTTCTTCTAGTCACTTCAAGCTCTGTTAAAATAAGGCAGAAGAAATGCCTAGTTGCTATTTCACTGAATGTGAACTTTTGTCTTTAGATCTCCTTGCATTTTGTGTAGGTATGAAGTGTTTGAGCATAATGTTAATTGGTTCTATTGCGTCACCTACAATTGAGATATATTTGTAAGTAATTTTTAAAATATATTCTTGTCAAACTGAAATGCAAAACCCGTTTTAAAAGTTTTTTTTTTTTTTTTTCATTTCATTGAAGTTTCTGGATATAAAATTTTTTGAATAGACTGCTAGTATTAAATAGCATTTTTTCTGAAATGCTAACTTGGAAGGGTTGTGTTCTCATCAGATTTCGGGAATGATCTGGTCTTCACTGCATGTTAGGAGATCAGGAAATACTTTGTATACTCATTTTGTTTTAAGAATTTCACTTTTATCTTTTTTTTTTTTTTTTTTTTTTTAAGACACCCTCCCCCTCCCGTTTTAACCCCACTAGTTTAAGGAAATTGAATACTGTCCTTAATTGAATCCATAATTTTATTTTTTATTTATTCATCTGTGAACTTTTTAAATTCTAAACTTAGTCTACCTTATATATAATGAAAACTTTTCAACAATTTCTGAGTAGTGACTTTTACTGTGTTCTGGTGTGTATATCCTGCATTTTTTTTTTTGTTTGTTTCCATAGCTTTTTCAGCTGTGGAGCACATACTGTATATAATAGCATAGTTGAGAATTCTTCCAGATTTTTAATTCTGGGCCATGATGTTACAAACTGATTACATTTACACTGGATTAATTCAGTGACATATATCCACAGAATATAGAAATCCATTGTGATTGAGAAGATTGGCAAATCTTGTCAATTTAAACTCACTCTAGTTGGCTTTTTGCCTTGTTTCTGTGTTGTATGTGGACAATATTTAATAAAGAGTTGTGAATATTTTCCTCCACCTTTTGGATAGCTAAAAATGTATTGTATACTATAATCTGTAATCTATTTTCTGTACATTATTGAGGTAGGATTAAGGCACTTCCTAAAAGTATGCAGTGTATACATGCCAAACTATGGATGTTTTTTTAATATTTGTTTTTAAAATGCCCCATCCATTCTTCAAAATTTTACATGCATGTTTTAATGTTTTTTTTTTTTTTTTTTTTTAACTCAGTTAAATTAGTTTTTTTTTATATACCCCCCACCCCTTTTATTGTGGCCATCGTATATAAAATGTCTTTGTTTTATGAGAATAATACAAACTTTCTTTTTTAAGTCATCTATTTCTAACAGGTCACATTGAAGGTCGGTTTCGAGACACTATTGTGTTGCAAAATACATCATGTAGCAAAATAAGTGCTTTGAGAAATGGTTTCAGGGTTTAAAAAACATTTTTTTTTCCCCCCTTTAGAACTTATAAAAATTAGTTTTTTTTTTTTTTTTTTTTTCTTTTGTGCCAACATGCCATTTCTCTTGACATGCGGTTTAAACAAATGAACCCCCTCCCAAAATCTTTTTGTCTGCCCCTTCCCAATCTGCAACATTATTGGTGATTTGGTGTTCATAAACATGGTTCTCAGAATTCACATTCATATATATATATAACTATATCTATATATATACGTATATGTGAAAACTATGTTATGTGCTTTGTGCTAAAGCATTTAGTAGGGATACAAAAGGTATTGGTTTAATTTTTTTTTTTTTTTACTCAAATTTTTTTTTTTTTTGTTTTATTTTTATTTTTTAAATCATGAAAATGGTAACAATGAACAAACCACTTAAAAAAGGTTGTCCCAACGACTGTCTCTGGTGTCAATGAAATTGGTATCTTACTGGTTTATACTATTTGTTGATGTACTTAAACACTGGGTACAATACTTAGTAGTTACACCTAGAGGTTTTTGTGGATATATATTCAATTATGTATTTTTCCTACTCAAAAACTATTGGTTTATGTATGTATATGTGACAAAATGGTTTAAAATCTAAGCTAAATTTAAAAAGGTTTGAAACAATCTTCTAAAAACCCTTGCACTCTCAAGTGTTCATTAAGAGTTGGGGGAGGAAAAAACAGTAAGCAACAATGTTTGGTTATGGTTTGACTTGAAAAAGTAAAGATGTCTGTTCATCCTTGTGTTTTATCATGGCTTAGGGACTTGGTCATGTGTTTAACAAAAAAAAAAAAAAAAAACAAAAAAAAAAAAAAGGAAAACACCAAAAAAAGAAATTCCCTAAACAAAAAAATCTTTGAAAGGAAATGTTTTTGCAACATGAACAGGCTGCTTGTGTCTTAGAAATGTCCTCATTTGTGCTGTTTGGAAATGATGCCAAAAAGACTCGGTGAAGAGAAGGTTCTTGGCCGTGTCAGTAGAGCACTCCATCCCCACTGGATGGATTGCCTTTACTGAATCTTCCTAATGCATTTCAGCGGTGGCAGAGGAGGCTTCAACAAAAGCTATGGTGGTGGTAAGTGAATGGTTTTGGCTGTTTCTAGCCTCTATATTTTATTTTTATAACAAACAAACAAACAAATCAATCTTGGTCATTTTTATCACCCTTCCCTCATTTCTTTGAAGGCAAAGCATTAAGCATGTCTCCATTGTATCTCTCACACACACACACACACACACACACACACACACACATATGTGGCAGATCAGTTTTAACTTAAATGTCTTAGTTTTTTTACAAGATTAGATTTGTTAAATATTTACTTGAAGCACTTTGCAAGTTATAATAATCAGTTTCCTTTCTCATGAAAGAGTTTTAATAAAGCGATTCCTAGTCAAAGAGTTGAAAAATATACTCAATAAATTCTGAAATATTTAACTCACTTTTGATGCTCAGAATTTAAGAATATCCTCTTTGCTAATGCTCCTTTAGTTCTGTGTAGGTGATGTTGGCCATAGATATTCCCTGCACTGTACAACATTCTAAGACTTTATATAATTTCTCTGGTTAAATATTAACTGCTTTCTACTAATTTTTAGTTTGGCAAATGTTTAGCTTGAACCTCCAGTACAAGAACTTTTCAGCATCTTATATAAGAACTTAACAATATTAATATCCAACTTTTATGAATTACAATGCCGATTTGGTAAAAGTGCCACAAGTTTAACATTTCAAGTATCTTTTCATCTCCATGTAAATATGAGTTTAGATAATTTCTATTGCAATCACTTGGAGATTAAATTTTAACTGATCATGAAAAATTAGTTCAGCTGTCATTCAGAAGTTCTGTGAGTTTTGTAAAAAAAATTTTTTATTATAAAGTGTTAAGGTGAACAAATATTTCAGAATAAACTCTTGCTTGTGCTTCTGCCTTAAGTTAATAAAGTTGGAATTTTGACTTTAAAGGCTTATATTACAACTTTCTAATCTTTTTTTTTATACATATGTGCAGTAGCAACAAATGGTCTGTCACATTTTTCTACATGACTCTTATCCATTTCTAAAATTCTTTTAATTTGGATTTATATAGTATATAACAAATATTCATTATTTTTTTTCTTTCTTTCATTCTTTTATGTAGTTAGATTTGTCCATTTCTTAAATGATTTTCCTTGTAACAAGGTCTTTACTTATTTCAAAACAAGTGCTCTTGAGGTAGGGGAGGGAAGACTGCTTTGACAGTTAGGTTTAGAGCACTTGTGGTGTTAAAAATATCCCTCTGCTTGGCTGGCTCTGAATGTTAATCCATGCTCTACACTTTAGTACCTCCCAAGTATTTTTGCAAGCAGGATTTTTATAATCTCAGAAAAGTGGAATCCTCTATTTTTCCATCTTATTTCAATTGGAAGTATCTAAATTATTCAAATTTAAAAAAAAAAAAAATTCCCCAACCTTTTTCTAGTAATTGATTTCACCTTGAAGTTCTACTAGAGTATATTGTGGGGGAGGGGAATTGGAGCCATGCCAAGTTACACACATACACAAATGTGCGCTTGCGTACTAAATATATATATATATATATATATATATATATATGGATATACCAAATTTTTCTCTTTCAATATAGTAGTTCAAGCCAAGGTAAGTTTTCAGAAAAGTGACTTCAACACTTTTAGCCTGTTTCCAAAGGATAAACTTTGTATACTCGAAAAAGAAAATCTCATTAACAATTTGATACTGTGGAGAGGGAATTACACAATTGAATGTCTGTTTATATTAAACATGAGACAGTTGGTTGAATGGACAACAGGTATTGCAAGCACTTTGAAGGTGTTAGTAGGCCTTACCTGAAAGGGCCATTTGTGCCCTGCTGAATGTGTTAACTGGTTATAGACAGATAAAAAAATATTTTTTTCTCCCCAATGGTTTACAATTCGAGGTGGTTGTTATCAAGGTTTGAGTTACAAAGGCCATTTTTTTACTGGCCAGGGTATTGACAAGGTCCCAAAAAGAAAAAAAAGAAAAATCTCATGACAATTTCTCTTCAGGGATGTTGCTTCCATTTGCATGCTAGCCATCAATCAGCAAATGACCAGCTATGCACAAACTCTTATGGAAAGTAAAGTAAAGTGCTGACCCTATTTCTTTTTCTTTCCCATTCATTAACCCCCTTTTGTTGGTGGTTGAAGATAACTTATTTGTTACTGGGTTTTAACTTTTCTCTTGATTTGACCCTTTGCAAACCTTCAGTAGAAGGGGTGAAGAGTTTTTATTTTCAGGTCATATTTGGTCTGAATTCAAGAGATGAATGTATGTGATGAAGCAAGTGTTTAGTGCAATAGCTTAGAAATCTGAGCAGGAAGGTCATGTGATAGTATGAGGATTTCAGAAGTACTGTTGGCTAGGTTGTCTTGAGTATATAAACGAAAAAAAATTAGAAAGCATAGACTATTTCCATGGAATTAGAGATAAACCCAGTTTAATATACTAAGGTCTGGTTTTATAGCTTAAAGAACTTAAATGTTCACAAAGCATTTAGAATAGACTAATTTGTGTAGCAGTTATCATCCCTTTCACAGTTTCTTGGTGATTGCTTTTCTTTGAGAAACTTGGTACAAAGCTTATTTTGGAATTGTATCCATTACATGTAATTCATTGCTTTAATGGAAGATGGGTGCTATAGTCTTCCAAGCATTTTACAATAATAACATGTCTTTGGGTTTTCAAATCTGGAACAAAGTGGATCATATGGTGTAAAATGAAATTGAAAAATTTGTAAATAAATGCAAAGTCACAGCAGTAACAAACTTTGTCACTAAATAAATGGTTCTTAGTGAAACAATTTAAATTATTGTCCATGTGGTGGTTGAAACCAAGCATGTTTAATGTGTCAAAAATATACCTTTTTTGCTTGTTTTGAAAGTATAGTTTAAGTGTTCATTGTTTGAACTTGGAGAAATTATTCCACTTTCTGCTGAAGGGGATTCTTTAAAAAAAGAAAAAACGTATCAAGGGAATATTGGTTTTAATTGCATCTCTTCCATCATACAGATGTTTTGTATGTGTGAAAATCGTTTTAATATCTTTGGTGGTTGCTATTAACTGAAGTTGTCCTTTTTACAAAGGTTTTGATTATTCCCAGCAGTCACTGCCTCTCTCTTGTATCTTTACCTTTACCCATTATTGACAAATATCAGGCTGGTCTGAAGTGTCATACATACATACATACATACATACTTACTTATCTGGTGATGGCTTTGTCTGATGGCATTTGCCAAAATGGCAATATTAAATGGAATGTAGTCTTAATGGTGCAGATACTGTCTGCCTCGTTTATTAATTTTTTTTTTTTAAATTAAACCTTGTGCTGCTTTTAATTATATTTACCTTGTAAAGATCAATGTTTTGACTCTCTTCTATTTCATTTTCTTTCTACAGGTGGTGGTGGCGGTGGATATGGAGGTGAGTTTTAATCATTACTCAGTAATTTTTATATTTTCCTTTCGAAAATAAAAAAAGAAAAAAAAAAAAGTTGGCATTCATCTAAATATGGTACATTCTTGGGTTACATACAACCACAAATTTGGATGTTTGAGTTGAACAAAAACCTGACAGTCATGGTTAAACAACAGCTTTGATTTTAAAAGTAGAAATGTATTTCTAAACCCCCCCCAATTGATTTTATTTCAATACTGACATTTTACTCTCTAGATGGTCCCATTATGGAAATGCCTGACACCGTGTTTGTGTACGGACTGAACGAAGATGTTACTGAAGAAGCTCTAATTCAACATTTTGGAAGCATTGGGGTCATTAAGGTAAAATCAAAACTTGATTTTTGTCTGTCTATATTTTTTTAATGTTTTTGAAGTTGTTGATAGAGAAAGCCCAGGAAAGAAGGAAAATGTATAAAGCTGGCATGTGAAAGTAAGCACATTAATAAATTGATATTGGAATCTGGGTTTTTAATAAAAAAAAGAAATGGATCTTTTTGCTTTTAATGTTACCTTTTACCAAAACAATGTGTGGGGCGTGGTGGATAAATTGTGGCCATTTTATATTTTTAATTTCACATATACACATTGTTTTTTTGATTTTGTCAGCTGCACAGGTCAGTTGGGCATCATCTGTGAGAAAAAGAACACCATGACGCAATTCACTGGAAACTTTGTCAAAGTAAAAATGTTCTCAGTAAGTTTTTGTTGATTATATTTCAGACTGATAAAAAGACAAGCAAACCTAAAGTGTGGATTTACAAGGACAAAGTCACCGGCAAAGGAAAAGGTGAAGCAACAGTCACTTATGATGATCCTGAGAGTGCCAAAGCTGCCATTAATTGGTTCAATGGTGAGTTACTGTTGTGCTTTTTTTCTTTTTTTTCCTTGTTGAGGGGGAAATACTTATGTGAGATTGTAATCAAAATGTAATATAATACAACATCCCAAATGTGGGTGCTGCAAAAAAACTTTTAATACACTTTGGATATTTTAGATGCCAGCTTTAAAAAAACAAAACTGACTAAAAGAAAAAAAATAAATCAAGCCCCTCCATACACGTGTTCTAGTTTATCTAAATCCTTCAAAAAGATTTTGCTGAATCTAAGTGACAGATATAATAGAGGTGATGGCTATAGAAATTTCAAACAATTTCTTGAAACTCTATTCTGCCGTCTGATAGCTCTTCAGCTAAATCTGCTTCTCTAATGAAATATTCTCAAATTGACATTTGGGTTTTATGATAATTATTACATTACTGAAATTTAAATGGGAGCTTAAATGATTTGTAATTTGTAGCCAGCTTTTTTTTTATAACAGATAATGACATTTTTGCAGCTTTTAGTGTACACGGCATAGAATTGAGCAGGTACTCTAACATCAAGTGTGACTTGTTACTGTGGGCAATATTTTCATTAGTGGATTAAGTGGATGTTTAAGAATAACTATATTTTTACCCCGTTTGCTTGAATCTGCAAAGAAATGTTGACTAGAAAAATTTGTGCAGAGTTTGGAAGTTTTAAACATTTAATCTGTTATTTTTACCTTCTCTCTTGCTTTGTGTTTTTTTTTTCCTGCTTCTAGTAAAAGTCAGTGTGTCCTATACCTTTCCCTTTGTTTTATTATTTTCAGAGAAAGACTTCCAGGGTAGAATCATCAAGGTTGAAATGGCTCAGCGTAAAGCTTGGACAGGTGGCAGAGATGGCCGAGGTAAGTAATCTGCCATAAATAATTGATTTATGAAGTTACTATTATGATTTTATTATTACTTTGAAAGTAAACAATAATTGGTATTTGGTTGAATATAGTGTTACATATATTGTAATTTAGTCAATTTCATTAAAAAGGTGTTTTATTCTGAATTTTGTAAGAATCTGAACAGTAACTTCCTGCTAAGTGTTTGATTGAAAATATACATGCATAATTGTGAATTTTACCTGTCTAAGAATAAACTGACTTTAAATAATTACTGTTATTAACTGAATATTTTTAAAATTGGTTAGATGCAGTTCTAGGAATAATTTTTGATCGTGTTTTCTTTTTGTATTACTTTGCAGGTGGACGAGGTGGAGGCCGTGGCGGTGGCAGAGGTGGATTTGGTGGTGGTATGGGCGGTGATAGAGGTGGTGGCGGCGGTGGTCGTCAAGGAGATTGGACTTGTCCCAACCCGTAAGTATTAGAAATCAGTTCTTAAATGTTCCCGACAAAATCTTTATAGTATTTAAACCTTGCCAGGAGCATTCAGTCTGATTCCATCTACAAATAGCTGAATGGAAACTGGATATTTTATTTTTCCCTGGTAAAAGCAAGTAATTCCATTGGATAAAATAATTTTTTAGAAATATCTCCAGAAAGACACTAAAACAATATTCTTTAGCACTGTCTAATGGCCTACTTGTCAAAATATACATTAAAGAATACAAATCACAGAAGCAAATGGGTAGTAAATTATTTTTGCTTAGATAAATGCTAACACCAGCAGTCTACTGCTGTTTGCGACTGGAAGATGGAATAATTTTGAGGCACAAACTTTTTTTTTTTTTTTTATAGCTGGAATCTTGTTAAAATGATCAATACAAAAATGTGATTTGTCCAGGGAATTTGTCTGCCATGACACAATTGGCTTCACATAAAATGATTTGCATCTATTGGACAAGCAGCATTTAGTCAGGTGTTTTGAAAATGTATTTTTTATTTTCAGTGCTTGTGGCAACAACAACTTTGGCTGGCGTAATGCTTGTAACCTTTGCAATGCTCCTAAAGAAGGACTTGGCTCTGCAGGACCTGGTGGACCTCCTGGTGGTCCAGGTAAGAAAGCTTCTCTTTATTGGCACTGGTCTTAAATGCTAGAATTTGAGTCTTTTTGATTTTCCCTCTTTTCTATACTGAATTCTCTTGTGAAAAAAAGGAACTACATAAAATACTATTTAAAATGGATGTGTATATTGAGTAAATATAAAGTTGAAGAATTTATTGCTTGTATAAAAAAAAAAAAATAATCATTCACTTTTCATCCTTTATTAACTAATACTTAATCATAATTTGCTGTAAAAATTGCCATTCTGTTCTTGACCATATTAAAAAAATTTAAACCTCTTGCAAATTAATATTAATGAACTAAATGGATATTCTTTGGCTAACCAATCTAGAATTTGGATTTGCTGCAGATTATTAGTTGTTTACGAATTTAGATAAGGTAGACAACTGTTGCTATAGATTTTATCGTGGTTATCTCCCTTACTCAACAGCTAATGGTTTTTACATCATGCTTTTCTTTAACAGGTGGTTTCCGAGGCCGAGGTGGACCCCGTGGTGGCGGTGGCCCTGGCATGGGTGACAGAGGCAGTCGAGGTGGCATGGGCGGTGGCCGAGGTGGCATGGGTGATCGTGGCGGCCGAGGTGGCATGGGTGACAGAGGGGTGAGAGGAGGTGGTGGCATGGGTGATCGTGGAGGCAGAGTAGGTGGTATGGGTGGCCGAGGAGGTGAGAGAGGTGGTTTCCGTGGTGGGCCAAGAGGAGGTGGCGGCATGGGTGGCGATCGTGGAGGTGGTGGACCCGGTGACAGAGGTGGCCGTGGTGGATTTGGCAAAGACCGAGGAAGGTAAGAAGGAAATTTAACATTTTCGTACAGTTTTCATCCATTACTTGTGATAAGCTAAAATCCACCAGTATTTAAAGAGTAATTTATTTTTTGTGTGTATTTGCCTTGTGAAGCTCACTGGGTGGTGGAGTGGGTTGAGGGTGTATTAACTGATAGCAAGTTGCTTTATATATATATATATATATATATATATATATATATATATATATATATGTGCACAGTTTACTAAGACTTGGTCTAAAGTCAAATTTTTCTTAAATCCCTGTTTAACAAGTAATTTGAGCAGTCTGTCTTAGGACTAGGCTATCATGACCCTCCACAACTTCCTTTACCATATAGCTCTTAATAATTAGTCTTTTGCTATTCTCCTAAACCCAGTTCTGCCATGAATATTGTTTAAATGAGAATGTTTTGCTTGCAATGGTATAAAGTGATTTTCATAGACTTTAATTTTAAACCAATTAATAGGTTTCATTTTAATCGAGCATTATTTCAGATTACTGTGTTTATATTTAGTGGGTACATGTTTCAGATGTCCTGCAGTTGGTTGGTGTCCTTTTTTTTTTTTTTTTTTTTTTTTTTAAACTGAAATTGTCTATTGGCCTAGAGATAGTCAGACAGATGTGGTTCCCAATATGAATTAAACCTGTATTCCTGTTTTCTATCAGTGACAAGGCACACTTAATTGAAATAGTTTATCTGGTGGGAAAGTGGGGGGGGGTGATACAGATTTGGTTCCTGTTGCATGGGCCAATTTCTTTTAATAGGTCTCTTGATTGTTCAGTTGGTACAAATTTACTATTTTGGACAGGGTGTCTACTCAAAAGCTTAGTAAACACTTTGTATATTTAGTAAATATTTTACTTTCTGTTTAGTCAATTTTGGCTAAAATTACTTTTGGCTTTGTGTGTTAACTTAGATGACTAACCAACTATTCTTTCTTTGCAGGCCTCAAGATAGCAGATCTGACAGACGACCAAGGCCCTACCCTTAGATAAAGTTTTATCTTGTCACAAACCAGAAGAAAACTGCATTCATTTTTTAAATCCATTTTTAACGTTCCATTGTCTCTTCTCAGTATTACATCCAATAATGCTAATAAAAACTTTTAAACATGAGAGGTTGTGATTGATTTGTTTTTGCTTAGCAGTTTCTGGATAAATAAAAATATTTGCTGCTGTGTTTGAAATTTTATCACTTGCATCTGCACATCATTGAAATGCAATAAGATGTTCTCTCTTCCACTGTTATGCTTTGTTCATATATCTGCTTGTGTTGAGATTTAGCCAAAAATGCTAGGATTTGGGGTGGGGGATGGATAGCTAGACATACACTTGAATGAATTATAAATCTTAAAATATTGTAAATGTAAAAAGTTCCTCTAATTTACGACCTGCCTTTCTGATTTTCTTTTCCTTTCTACTTTCAATCGTGTTGCTGTATTGAAACCAAATTTGATGGCATGATCCTTAAAAATAACATGCTATTTCAGTATCATCAGCTGTGTTGGCTTCAAATGGCTATATTTTTGCATGGGGCGGGGAAAGAAATTCATTACTTAGGGAAATATCTAGTGGCTTAGAAATTTCCCTAAGTGATGAATAAATTTCATGTCAACCTTTATTAAAAGTTGATAGTAGAGAGAATGGTTTGTTGCAGACCATTTATTTAGTAATACATTACTGAATTTTGCTTAGATATTTTCTTAGCCTGTTTTTAATAGGCTTTGTGCTTACAAACTCTTTTTTTTTTTTTTGCAGTTATGAATTTAGATTTACACCAAGTATTTTAAGTACGACAACTACTAGGACTTATTGGGATGGGAATTGCTATTTTTCAGTTTTCTCCTCCTGTGGAATAAATGGAAGTTGGTGTTTGTACTAGTGAAAAAACTGCAGAGAAAAATAAATCAAGGCAAGGTTGTCAAAATGCAGCAAAGGCTGGAATTTATCTGGTAAGTATAATGGGAAATTAAAAAGGTACATTAGGATAGATTTCTTTCAAAAGCTAAAAGTGCTGAACTGTTATATAAGATCAATTCCCTGATATGGCTGTGAAAGTGAGATCATTTCCTCAAAGTAATATTTGCAAAAGATGCTGATAGTACCATAGATTGAATCTAAAGGAGGAAAATGGAAACAAAAAGGTCGTTACTGAGAATGAGAAAAACTAGGTTGAAATTTCTGGGAGAGAAGACTGAAAATTTAACATGCATTCTGCAGGGAAACTTCTTTTTCTTTTTTTTTCTGTGGGTGGGTCAAAGATAGGTACAGAGATTTATGCCATTGGGAAAACATTTTTGAAATTTTTGTAAAATTAAGATCAAATTTTAATTAAATTTTCAGGAATTATTCCATTTAAAGTTTTGAGAAATTAAAATTTCAGCCTCTTCATATCAATATTTTAAAAATAGTTTTGAATTTTTTTTTTTTTTTTTATGTATAAACTTGTCAATTTTTTGCAAGCATGGGTGACCATACAGAGAATTATCAGAAAATGAGCAATAAATTTAAAGTCAACCTTCTGAAAATTCAATAAAACAGATTATGGAGAATATCTTCCTCAATTTTAAATATTACTGAGTATTTAAAAATTATATAAAAGAAAGGTGCTAATGTCCATTTCTTCAATTATGTTTTCCAGATAGTCTCTATAGAGCAGGATTAGATCTGTCAAGCATATCCACTGTCAGGTTAAAAGCTGCATTTCTGCAATATTTTAGACTTGAAGTTAACTGTTTCAAATCAGATTAATTATACTTTAAATCAACTGATATTTCTCGGTTTTGGAAAAGTGTGTGTGTGTGTATATATATATATATATATAATTTTTTTTTTTTTTTTTTTTTAAATAAAGGGAATTACATTGTGTTGAAAGATGACTGAAAAAGGTGCTATCAGCTATTTTAGGAAAAATAAAATGCTTTCCAGTCAATTTCGAAATACAGCAAAGTATTTTGCTTATTAGAAATATTTAATCTATTGAAATTAAAATAAAAAGTTCCAAATTTATTTTAAATTCATTTTAAACCTTAGGTATTGTACATTTTGTGGAGGTCCCTATATAAAAGCTTACAAATTGTTGGCCGTGTGATGTGAAGCTGATTCATGTGTTCCTTTGTACTTTGGATGGATAGCAAAGTTTGAATCTGAGAATCAACTTACATTTTCACATTTATACAAATTGACACAAACTGCAAACAAATGATGTAACATGATTGCTTTATGTTTGAGGGAGGAAGATTGTGTTGCGTCTGTCATTTTCATTTAATGAATATTAAAATGCTATAACCTGGTAATGGTTACAAATAGGCAAAATTTCTTTTCCTTTTCTTTCTTTTCTCTCTTGCATACACACACATCTAAATGCGACAAACTGACAAATTTCAAATGTTAAAAAAAAGCATAAATATTTCCTATTTATTTCTTTAACTTACTTTGTAAATACAGTGATCCCTTGCTAATTCGCGGTTCTACTATTGTGGATTCACGACTTTGCGGATTTTTAAAATATGTATATGGAAAATATATCGAGTTTCTAGAAAAATCGCGATATATGAACACCTAAAATTTTTCATTAAAATATTAATAATAAATATTTCCTGGTCTAGGAACAACAAAAAAAAAAAAAAAAAAACTAGCGTAAAATGGCAATAGAAAGGGCACCGTGGTCTGAAGAGACGTAAAATACAATTATCGGCTGCACAGTAGAAGTCATCATCAGCTTCATCATTTCTACAGTGCAGCAAATTCATCACCATCATCATTGAAATTCTACTACTTCAACTTCTATCGTGTTGAATACAGTAACAATCTTTATTTTTTTTTAAATCTAAAGTGTTATTGCTTAAGAGTTGTCCTTGTCATTAATAGAGTACTGTAATGGGTGGGTTGTTAACAGTACAGGGAGGGTTTTAAAAGTCCAAATACACGTTAAATAAATACTGTAAATATGGCGTTCCTACTTCGCGGAAATTCAGTTATTGCGGCCAGTCTCGGAACCAATCTACTGCAATAAACGAGGGATCACTGTACACTTCCATTCCCGTCACGTGTTCTGATAATCTGGTGTTGATTGATTTTGGCTTTGCAGGTTATATAAAGCTTGTAGAGTGGAAGAATATATTATATATAATATTATTATTATTATTTTGAGATAATCATGATTTACTAACACTATACTAATTGACCCATAGCTGGGGGGAAAAGTGGATTTATACTTTTCTTAACTAAATATACTGGAACTCTGCTCTCCTACTTTCAATTCCAAGTGTTTATTCGTTGCATATCTAATCTTACAAGAACTGATATTTCCAAGTGGTTACCCATCCAGGTATTGATCAGGTTTGAATTTGCTTATCTTCGGTAATCGGACAAGACCGGTGTTCCAGCGCAATAAAGCCGATGAAATTAGAAAATGGAAAACCAACAATCTTGATACCTGGGCTGATAAGAATATGTGAAAAAAAAGTTTTGATATCGGGTAACCCAGTCAGCTCAAACTGGTCTCCAATTGAGTTGTCCACGTCACCCTGGCCTTACCCCTTCAAACTTAAACTTAATATCAATCTTCTCAACATGCATCTATGATGCTCACAACACAGCCAATCCTGAACAAATTGCATCAGCCTCTTTCTCTTTTTTGGACCCCAATAGCCATTCGATAGGAGAGAGAGGAAAAAAAGAAAAAACAAAACAAGTTTTATCCTTTATTTTTTGTTTCGACTGGGTTTCTGGCTCCTTCTAAAATCTTTATCGAGGTGAATTGATTTAATAAATAAAAATATACACGAATTATAAAGAGGGAGGCGGAAAAGTGTATATTGACCAGGTTCCGGCGAGTTTCGAACTCGCGACCTTCTGCGTGTTAAGCAGACGTGATAACCACTACACCACGGAACCACTGGCAGTATTGTGAGTGTTGTAAATATACATTGACTGATTTCAACGTCTGTGTGTAACGCAAATGGGGCCACGACTGTCCTGATGCCCGTCGGCTGTGCTAAGGATTTCGTCGGATACAAATTTACACTTACCACAGACAGACAGACGATTGAAGTAATTACACGATCGAGCTAACTGACAAGGAGAATTTTTGGGGTGGGGCAAAGATGGGTAGTAGTCACGTTGATCAGAAACAATCACATTTTTATTTTTTTCATGCGCTCCAGATCATGAATATGAATAAAAAAAAAATAATTTAATAAATAGGGGTGGCCATAAAAATCAATCGCCAATTAACCCCCCTACGGAAACCAAAATAAAAATGTGTGTATCTTGTTTTGGTAAATTTGCAGTGGCACATTAAAAAAAATATTATTCTTGGTGCAAAATCGCCTTAATATTCCAAAAATAGCATTAAAAATTGGCGGAACTATTCATTAATTAACAATTTTAGTTGGGTCCATGTTACCCTTGATTACTACGCGAAAGTTTACACAGGCCTCGATTATAAATATAATGCCCCAGTGAAAAATTATCGAGGCCAGTGTAAACTAAAATTGTCAATATCTCCTAAACGGTAGATTTCCACTAGTTTTTAATGCTATTTTTGGAATAATCAGGTAATTTTACACCAGGAATGATACTTTTGTTAATTTCTCATTGTCATCTGTAAATTTACCCTTATTTTTTATGTGATTTTATTTTAATTTATTTATTTATTTTGTTGCTTATTTACTTATTTATTTATCCCCGCCCCCGCGTAAATAAAATGGACTGTTCCACTTACGGTATATCATTATTTAAATTATGCAACAGTCAGTTTTCAGTCGGCACCTGATAATTGCTTTGTGCATTAAACCAAGAGTAAAAATAAATTATAACTTTGTTATTATTGCTCTCTCGCACTTTATTTTATTAGCTGCATGTGCAATATTTTATTTAAATAAATAATGACAAAAACAAGGAAAACATATCTTAGCAGATAGCGTTTCATCTTCTGATGGACTTTATTCAGGCAAATGTAAGGATTTTATTTCGTAACGAGTATTTAGAGACAAAAGTAAAAAAAAACAAAACAAAAAAAAAACGTTAGTTTTTCGAAACTTTGAAAGTCATAAATAAACTTCAGGCTAACTGAAAGCCAAGGTAAATTATGGAGGATGCTAAGTGATATAATTTAATGTCTAATAATTGAAAGTAAGTAAATGTTCTTGTTGAATTTTTTTATCACGGTGGAGTAATGTATAGCGGCTCGGATTGAGGAACCGGAGAAGCGAGTTCGAATTCCAGTCGAATCCATTGCATTCACTTACATGCTAATACCCTTGGGAAAGGTATGAATCCTCTTCTTCTTCCTCCAGCTATGGGTAAATAGCAGGACAGACCGGGTTCTATAGCCTTGGATGGCAACTGGTCTACCACAGAAAGATGGCAACGTACCGCAGGAAAAAAATCTGCCTCGTCAGTCATGTATCGAAAGATACATGATCGCTTAAGCGTGTATCACGCATGGCACATAAGAGACTGAATTATTATTTATATTTTTAAGTTGGGATTAATTTATATATTTATATTATATTTTGAATAATGGAAGGTTTTGAATTTAACGGTTTTCTTTTAATTTTTAATTTTTTTTATAGTCAAGTATTGGCTTGAGAAAAAAGTATTTCTTTCAGGAAAGGAAATATTTGAAAAAAAAGTTTTCGATTGAGTTACTTTTTCTTTTAATAAGTGTAACAGTATTGAAATCGAAGTTGTAGTTGAATTTATTTCTATGTATGACTAATGCATTTTTGTGTTCATAGATACGTTTTTTTTTTCCATTTCTGCAAGTTTTCCCAATGTATTGTGAGGAGAAGTTGCGACAGTTTATATACCTGTTTCAAAATCATTATTGTTAAGGATATTGTGGGGTTTCTGATCATATTCATAATAATTATAAATAGTTTTTTATTTTATTTTATTTATGGAGAGATTTTCGGATGCTCATGTCGATAGACGTATTACACACCGTTTAAATTTAAAAATAAAACCGGAGCGTCTATTTCAAATACGAGTATCCACTAATAATAATGTTCGAAGTAATAGAAATTTCGGATTAGAAATAAAGCTATCTGTCTTCTAGAAATTGCTTTCTTTACATTTCGGACACAAAATCTGAGCAGATATGGATTTAGAAATGTATCTTAGTAACGAAGTGTACTTTCCTTAAAAGGAAAATAGAGATTCGCTGTACGGTGACAATCTACGAAGCCGAGCGGTAATGCACACCGGATCAAACGGTGATTTTTCTTACAAAGAGGGTTGCGGGTTCAATTCCTGCGGAGAGCACATTTCTTTTGTTATGATTTCTTGAATACGGAGACTGATAGACAAAATAATACACCTTTTAAATAAAAACGGAGCGTCTACTTCAAATACGAGTAAACACTGAAATAATAAAAATGTCGAATTTAAAATAAATCTCTCTCTCTCTTTATATATATATATATATATATATGCAGCATACCTTCATTCAAGCATGTTTGGTTGAATAATCTGGATATATTATGGCTATTTTTATTTTAATTCTCTCAAATTCTTCATAATGTTGATATTAAATTCATTAAGGGAGGCACCATAGTTTTTTCATTTCTTTTATTTTCCCAAGTACTTTCAATCTCATTCAAGATCATCTTCAGAAATTAGAATAATTGATAGTTGTCAATTTATTTGCAAACGCACACGAAACGCGTTCTCTTAATTTAAAAATTAACTGCTAAAGCTATTATGTTATCTAAGGGAGACAACTTTTACTCACACAATTGTAATTTTTTCAATATTACAATTTAAGTGTTTTAAAACATTACTGTTGCACTAATAATTAACCTTATTTAGCTCTGGTTGTATTTTTCTCATATGGAAGATTTCAAGATTTTGAAATTTTTTATTTTTTATGGTGGAGTATACTTGTATTATCAATATATATATATATATATATATATATATATGAAGAAAAATATACAGAAAAAACAAACAAAAATCTTAATATGCAATTATGCTGTATTAATGTTAATATAAAGTCAACGTCGGACGTTTCGGTCTATTTTAGACCATCTTCAGGACATTTTCATTAAATATAATTAATTATGTTTAATGAAAATGTCCGACGTTGACTTTATATTAACATTAATACAGCATAATTGCATATTAAGATTTTTGTTTGTTTTTTCTGTATATTTTTCTTCATACTGTCGGATCTATATCCATATATTTGCTTACATATATATATATATATATATATATATATATATATATATATATATTTTAAATGTATTAAAGTTAAATCGTGACTTTACAATCTTGCTCAACTTTATAACTTAATGATCACTTCTCTTATGTTATATTACCTTTGTCTAAACATTTTAATGCTATCCTTAGTAGTTTATTTTGAATTAAGGTGATCGATAAGTTTATACTCATAAATTACTAGTAATAATGTTTGCCGTAGATAGGTTTATACTGATATATTACTGGTAATAAGGTTTGGTAATAGCATTTAAATTTATATAATTCATACAAAACTACAAAAAATTATATTTATTTATTTATAATGTAATGGTTTGTAAGGTGAATTAGTTATTTTGTATGTCTAATGTTTTTACTACTTAAAGTGTCTTTTATTTGCATACTATGTTTAATTTTGTTTAAAATATGTGGCTTCTTTCAAAATGCCATATTGCTCATGAATTGCTACATTGTATCTTTCAAAAAAAATTTTTCTGTCTAGTTGCCATAATTTCTGGTTATATTTTGAATTCTTTCTCTATTACATCTTGCTCAACGTTAACATTTGTCGTTGGCTAAATTATCATCAGAAACTTTTGTTTTCTCATCTTTCCTTTCTTTTCTTTTCCTTTTCTTTGGAGAACGGATGACTTCTTACCCTTTCTATTTCTCTTCATTCTTTTTCCTTTTATCGATTTCTTGTTCTCTTCTTTTTTTTTTTTGCTTTATCCTATCTATTTCTTTCTTTTCCTTTTATGGTAAAATTATATACTTCTTTCTTTTTCCTTTTATGGAATTTTTATTTACGTCTTTCTAATTTAAAAAAAAAATATAAAAAGAAATATTTCATAACTAGCATTTTTAAAAAAAAAAATCGTTTATAACCATCTTTGATCACCACCTAATGAAATGTCTGAATTGGGCATCGAAACAAATATGCTTTTTTGTACTAGTAACCTAAATGTTCGAATGTAATGACTTATAAAAAATAATTATTGCTCTACTTTTGTATTGAGCTCTCTTTTAAATTAATGTTATGAACATTTGCATTTATATTCATAGAAGTCAACACTTAGAGGCGACAGTCTGTTTCATGCCAGATGCAATCGTCAGGCCACGAGTGCTGTTATTTTTCTGGGCTATTTATATATACGGGTCAGTGGTGCATTGTGGGTAGTCTATTTTGGCGGTTATTTTACTGGAAGTCGTTTATTTGTTTATTTATTTATTTGGGTTAAATTATTTTGCTTGTTTTTATTTATTTTTTATTTTTTATTTTAATCGGTGTTTTTATTAACGTGGTAAAAATTTGTTTATATCGCTTATTTAATAGTTTTAGTTTGGGAAGATAATTAAATTAAGTTGGATGTGTATGGATGTATGTGCATATGTATATATATGTGTATATATATATATATATATATATATGTATGGGTATGGGTATGTGTATGGGTATGTGTGTACACGCCTATATGTATGTATGTACGTGTAACTATAAATATGTTGTTGTGTATGTGTGTATACGCATGTGTTTTTGAACATAGAAATATAGGTCCTTGCTAGATTAGATAATCGTTGTTTGTTTTTTTTATATGTTTATATTTGATTTGTAACCTGTGGTCGATATTACTTTTGTTAAATTTTCTTGATTACACAGCGGCCCTTTTATAAATGCCCTTCGGTTTTAGTTCCCCCCACCCCATCTTTTTTCTTTTCCTCGCCCTCTCTCATCTTCTGATTTTTAAGTTTAAATCGTCTATTGTGTGTGTATGTCACCACAAAATGTATCCTTAATGTATTAGACATCTGATTATATTCATATTTCTCTCGCTTAAACCGTCTTTGACTCCCCTCTTTAAAACTTCTCTCTGTTAAATTTTAATCCCCCACCTTCATCTTTAGACATTCCTGTTCTTCTCTCGTCTGTTACCCCTCTCTATAGCTTTCATTTACTCTAACATTCGTCCCACACTCTCATACATACACTCTCACTAAATTTTATTTTTTATTCCCAGAGTTATTTTTTCTGTTTTCTTTTTGAATTTTTAGGTCTGATTAATTGGATCGTATTTACGATTCCAATGGAATGGAATAAATTATGACCATAGAATATTAATGTTTAAGCCTTTTTATTACATATATATATATATATATATATATATATATATATATACCAGGTAACAGCAAAATTGTTCAAATCATGTAGAAGAAAAATTGTCCATTTGTTAGTTTAAGATTTGTAACGTTGTATCTTAGAAATGATTAAAGATATCTTACTAGAATTCTCTGAGGTTTTTATAGCACAATTGGTCTTCACTTTGAGCAATAAGAATGTATAATTACTCTCTAATCTTAACAGAAGAATCGTGATGAAATCGATCATAAACGAAAATGACGTGTTCATCGCTAATTAAACATAGCTAAGGATCGGAAGCTCATGAAGGATTGAAATTAAGTTCAAATATATATATTATTCCAGGATCATTTTCCAACTTATTAAAGATGACCTTCGCCTTCTCTGAACTCCTAAATGTTTGTCCTGGAGTCACAAGGGGTTTCACAGGTTTCACGTACGATTTCATTTTCAAGTCTTTTCCCATTGCTCTTTGAACTGTCATAGCTGAAACTACTCTCTCACGTGCCAAACGTCTTATGAGCTGAGTTGGATCTTTTCTAACCGATCTCTTTAGCTTCAAGTTGAAATGATGATCCCTCTTCCCGTTGTGACCTCCTGATCCAGTTTTTTTTTCTCTCTACTGTTCCCTCTTTTTTAAACTTACTCACCGCTCTCTTGATGGTTCTTGAGTGGACTTTGAAGATGAAAGCCAGAGTATGAATGTTGGTACCATTACTGAAGATCTGAATGTTTTTCCTCTCACCATTGTTCAGTTGGAAAGATAGAGGGGCTGTACGAAACGATTTTAACCTGTTTTATTTCTAACAAATGGTGTTTATGTGGCAAAACGTCTTATCTGAAAATCTGGTAAAAGACACTCAATTAGTTTAGTGTGTTTTTTTTTTAGATATTAAATATTTTGTGGGATGGACAATTTTCCCATGCTGTTACACGATTTGGACAATCTTAATGTTACTCCCGGCATATACATATAATTTCATCCTTATTGTAAATATTCCAACTGTCACATAATTCTTAATATTCAAACTTATCGATTGTTTATTTATTGGATGCTAAACTCCACAACACTCTAAGCCTTCTTGGCTTCACATTTTCCAGTGATATGGAGTGGAGCGACTACATCGAATCAATAGATGCATCTACTGCTAGGAAAGTTGGTTCACTGTGTATTGCCAGACAATTTTTCTCGCCAGAATCTATCTTGCACATTTATAAATCTACCATTCTTCCGTACATTGAATACATATTTTGGGCTGGTGCTCCTGCTGTATATCTCAAGATTGTTGACAAAATCCAAAGAAGGGTCTGTAATGTAATTGATCCTGACCAGGCTTCTAAACTTCAGTCACTTTCTCAGCGACATAATATGGCTTCTCTCTGTCTTTTCGACAAATATTTTCATGGCGACTGTTCTGATGAGATTTTTACCCTGGTGCCCCGACTACACGAATTTAAGTGTGCTACTAGATTAGCAGCATGTCTCACCGTTTTACTGTTAGTTAAATGCAGCCACCACTTATACTCCAACATTTTTTTCGCGCTTCCCACCTGTGGAACACCCTTCCGATTTCTCTTCCCACCTGTGGAACTTCCTTCCTATTTCTATTCCCACCTGTGGAACTCCCTTCCGATTTCTCTTCCCACCCGTGGAAATCCCTTACGATTTCTCTTCCCACTTGTGGAACTCCCTTCCTATTTCTCTTCCCACCTGTGGAACTGCCTTCCTATTTCTCTTCCCACCTGTGGAACTTCCTTCCTATTTCTCTTTCCACCTGTGGAACTCCCTTTCGATTTCTCTTCCCACCTGTGGAACTTCCTTCCTGTTTCTCTTCCCATCTGTGGAATTCCCTTTCGATTTCTCTTCCCACCTGTGGAACTTCCTTCCTATTTCTCTTCCCATCTGTGGAACTTCCTTCCTATTTCTCTTCCCACCTGTGGAACTCCCTTACGATTTCTCTTCCCACCTGTGGAACTTCCTTCCTATTTCTCTTCCCACCTGTGGAACTCCCTTTCGATTTCTCTTCCCACCTGTGGAACTTCCTTCCTATTTCTCTTCCCCCCTGTAGGACTTCCTTCCTATTTCTCTTCCCACCTGTGGAACTCCCTCCCGATTTCTCTTCCCACCTGTGGAACTCTCTTACGATTTCTCTTCCCACCTATGGAACTCTCTTCCGATTTCTTGCTTCTCTGAGAATTACAATCTTAAAAATTTAAATGCAATGTTAATCGCCATTTTTTTTAAAAAACCCTGCTCCTTTTTGTCCTTTCCTCAATCCTCTTTATTTTCAATGTCCTCATTCTGTTTCACTTTTATTTCCTGTACCACCAAGTGTTTAGTGGCATTATCCCCTTGGTTGGAGGAAAACGATTAAAAAAATGAAATTAATTACTTATAGATTGAATTTATTTTGTTGAGTTATTTTATCTTATTGACTTTCAACAAATATCAAACATATTTGGGGATTAAATTATGACTATATATATTTATCGCATAAACTCAATAAATATTATCAATAAATCTTTATCGTAATATAAATGGACGATTTTTTTTTAATCATTTCAACCCAAGTAAGGCAGTAAAGCCACTAAGACACAAGGTGGCTACTAATATTTAAATCATTCCAAAATAAAAATAATTTATAATTACTAAAATTCACTCCAAATTCTTTCAAGGGCCTTCTTTTGCACTCCGGTTGGGTTGACCTTTGCGATCGCCCCAAACGTAGGCGACACGGATGCACTATTTATAAGTGTGGGGTCTACGTTCGCGCTCACCCTGATAAACAACTTCATCGAAAACAGATTTTTTTCTTTTTTTTAAATTGAAAAAAAAATCCCTTGTAAGTACCTCGAATATGACCCGCACTTACGAAATGTGAATAGCACCCTGATTTTTGGTAATTTTACATTCTGAAAGTTGGAGTTGTTGCAAGGCAAGCTAAACAAATTTTGTTTTAAAATTTATAATTTCAAAAGAGTTCCAAAAGTTTAATAATAAAAAAAGACAAACTTTGATTTAAAATTTATAATCTCTTGGGTTGAATTATATTTCAGATAAGTAATTTTTTTTTTTGCAATACATTCATTATTTGCGCTGAATTAACAGAAACGATCAATTTTTGTTATTTACCTTCAGATATTTGAATGTCAGTCAAATAAAAAAAAAATATTTGTCATATATTTATTTATCATGGAACGAACGAAAATGAATTATTAAAAAAAAAAGGAAAACGCAGGTTCCGGCGAGTTTCGAACTCGCGACCTTCTGCGTGTTAAGCAGACGTGATAACCACTACACCACGGAACCAGTGACTATCTGTTGAGTGCTGCAAGTATACAGTGACTAATTTAAACGCCTGCGTCAGGCAGATTGGGTCACGACTTTCCCTGATGCTCATCGGCTGCGCTAAAAGTTCGTCGCATACAAATCTAGATTCTACAGTTATGGTGGAGGTCACAACGAACGACTGAATTTTACAAGATCAAGCTAATTGACTTTTTTTTTTTTTTTGTTGCTGGGGCTGTACATGAGGTACTACGATCAGAAATAATCACTTTTTTTCCATGTTACTATATAAATACTACTCTATTGTGACTATAAAAATAATAGTAATAAAAAAGCCGATTATAAATAAGGGTGGCCGTTTAGCTCTGTAGTAAATAAAATCATTGTCAATTGCCCAACCAGCGGAAAAAAAAAACAAAGATGTGATTGTCTAAACTTAAAGTGTTAAAAATTGTATTTATTTGAATTACTAATTTGGTGTGGTGTGTTTTTCGAAAGTACTACACAAAATTCAATTTTTTTTTTTTTTCATGTCGTAAAACAAGAAGAGCATTTTTATTTTGGCTTCCGTAGGGTGGTCAGTTTGTTTTTTTTAGCCAAATTGACCTTCCCTATTGTATTAACTATTATAAAATATAATGGTGCTATCTATCGAGGCATTTGCAATCTACCGTAAATGACGATGCACTCATTATTATTGGAAAATACTCAGGAAAAATGATGACTTGTTAACTGTTTCGTGCTACCCAGGCATTTATGATCTATCTTAAATGATGATGCATTTATTGCTGGAAAATGCTCAGGAAAAAACGATGTTTTTTTAAATCGCTCCAGAAAATACCAAACTCCTTCTGCCCGGCTTTATTTTGAAAAGTGTCAGATCAAGCAAAGAATGGAATATTGCTGTCATATCTGTGCTGATACTGCCCAGTCCCCACTGTCCAACTCCCAAAGAGTTCAAAAGCGATTACTTGTAGGTGATAAATTATTCTCCACCCTCCGACCCTTATTCCACAAACGAAACTCTGCTAGCCTCTATCGCTATTGCTATGGCAAATGTGCAACCGAGCTACAATTCCACCAGTTCAGACCTCTACAGCTAGATCCCAACATGCCATGTTCACGGTGTTAAATTATCCACATTCCCTTTCATAGGTAAGGAGGAACTTCTACTCACACAGTCTCGTCCCCAGCCAGAACTGTTACTCTGTAGAACACACTCACGAGAGAATGCTTACCCGACCACTACAATGTGGGTCAACCGATTTATATCCTATATATCCGATTAATGCGCATTTCTTACTTGAACCACTCTTCCGACAATTTCGCTTAGTAACACTTTACCTTGAGGGGCAGTTTGGACTAGCTGTGAAAGGCCAAGACCAGCTATGACTAGCTTAGACCAACTATGACCAGCTTGGACAAACTATGACCAGCTATGACTAGCTTGGACCAGCTCTGACCAGCTTGGACAAGCGGCCTGAGTGAAAACACTCGGGTCCCCACGTTAAAAACTGACCTTGTGTCACAACCTGACTCAGTGGGGCGCGGGGGGAGTAGGGGGGGTCAAGTAAATATCTTTTAACTTGAAGGGCTAGTGGGTATTATATTGGATAATCGAAAGTAAAAGAAAAAAAAAACAACAAAAAAACAAAAACAAACCAAAACAATGTCTGATAGGTGAACCTATAAGAAAAAAAACAAAACAAAACAAAAACAGAAAGAAAAACAAATAAAAATTAAAACTATGATGCCATATGGGGCTTCTTTTCCATTAGGTAATTTACTTAGGCAGCCTTTCTCTCCACTTTAAACAATTTTATGTACATATTTTAAAAATTGTGTTCATAATAATTGATGTTAACTTATAATTGCTGTATTGTTACGAATTGTTGTTGATATAACTGCTGCAATGGCTGCAAAATATGATTACGACTAAATATCTTTTTTTTTGCGATAAATAGAGGAAGTAAAAAACAAAAATGCCGTAAGTGAAAACCCAAGTTTTATAACGATAAAATCTAAATGAAACATTCATTTGTTTCGCGTGAATCACGTTTTGTCTCGTCAATACAGATTTGTTCTAGTCATATAAAATTCACGACAAACATGGACTTTCATGCTAGCAAAAAAAACAAAAAACAAAAAAAAAACAAAAAAAAACAAACAAAAAAACAAAACAAAAAAAAACAAAAAAAAAAAAAACAAAAAAAACAAAAAAAAACAAAAAAAAAAAACGGAATGTCAAAGGACGGTTTTTCCATTGTCAACGCTTTTATTTTAACTAACTTCACTCCCTCGGCAATGTTTATTTTTTTTTTTAAGAGTGATTATTAGAATTGCAATAAAACCTAAACATATGATGAAAGTGAAATTTATAGATTTTCTTTGTTCTTGAGAATTTACAACAAAAAATATTAAACAGTTTATTTATCAAATTGTTCATTTACACAAGAATAAATCTATATTTACGACATTCTAAAAATTCGGCATTAAGACTAATGCAATGCAATATTTATCATTTACAAATTTGTAAAGAAATAAATAAACAAGAAAACAATTTTTTATTCATAAATTTATAAACATTTACTAAGTGAAACAACTATACTTATTTTTATGCCATTTTATAAAATTCGAATCAATTGGCAATTAATCTATATTTTGCCAAACATTCCAATAAATATAATAAATAATTTGTAAATAAACAATCTAATAAACAAATAGTGTTTATTATTTTTGTTGTTAATTCTCAAGAATAAAGAAAATGTATAAATTCACTTCCATTTTATTACAACTCCAATCATCGTGTCGGAGTTAGCTCCTCCTTAATTCCTTAATCCTTCACCAGGGGTCTCTCCCCCTTGCTATAAATACTGGGTGACCTTTTGCCTCGATCTCTCTTTTCGCCTCAGGCCTTGGGCCGTATCCCACCTCGTGTGGAGGTGAGGTAGTTCTTTCTCTTCTTTCTTCATTTCAGCTTATAATACCAATATGTGAGTTCTCACCAATACAACGTTTCCCAAATTCTGAGAACATACTAAGAACAATACCAATACACGTACGTACGAACACTCACCACAACACACACATAATATTCACCACACAAACTCAATGTAATTGTCCATGTGCTTGTAACTTGTTGTTAATACATATATTTGTTTATATATAATTATTGGTCTTGTGTTTGTTTTATTTGTCTTCTTTGGACTTAATTAAAGTCCAACATTCTCATATAGCTGGACCGGCTAGCAGGAAATTTTAAGCCACGTGTGTTCTTTACATCTTCACCCCAAGGTCCTCTACAAGTTTCTTTTTAAAACAATAAACATTGCCGAAGAGTGAAGACAGTACAAATAAAAGAGGTGTCATGGGGGAAAAACCGTGCTTTTGACACTACGTTTTTTGTTTGCGGTCACGAAGGTCCATGTTTGCCAAATTCTGCTTTAGATAAAAATGGTTCATTGGCAGAAACATATCAAATATAAAGTTTTCGAAATTATCCTTTGTATTTACCAGATAGGAAATAAAAATACCAAGAAAAAAAATAACCAATACCCAATAGATAGTCACCAAACACACTTCTTCATATGAACTTCTTCCATATCCATGACTCTTCAAGACGTTGGTGATCATGGCTCTCCACAATTTCCTCTCCTTTGTAGCTCTCAGTAAGTTTTGTCTTTTTGGGATATCTCCTAATCCCTGTTTTGCCATCCATTTACACAATCTTATTAGATAGTTTACGCGCTGTCCTATCCCTCTTGGCTTCACTATGTCCCGTGAGGGTCATGTTTTCCAAACCCTCTTTCCTCATTATGTGCCATAGAAATGTTAACTCTCTCTTTCTGGTGTTAAGTATGAGTGTCTTTTGTTTACATTTTTTTCTAAGATTGCGTCATTATTCA